CTGAAGGTTTGCTTTGGGCTTCGATTTCCACGCAATAAATTGAACCAAAATTTTATAACTGACTTGCTATTACTCAAAAGAAACATGTACTGTTGAGTAATTTTTTTTTGCCCTGAGGAGTCGGAAGAAGGATGGCAGATCAAAGCTGGCTCGCTTTGAAATTTCGTAAAAGGCCCTGTCTTCTTCCTCGCCTCACATGCTTAGCGTGGCTTGGCTCTGAGGGAACACTGACTGTCAATCACACTGCGTGTGCGAACCGTTGACCAGTCTCTGTCTTCACATGAAGGTGATCTCTTTAGAAACAGCAAAGCTCACCCTTCTCCACGTCCACCACTCCCTACAACTTTCCTGATCTGTCCTCCTTGTCTGCTGGTTCCCCGATGACAGTGGTTCCAACACTGTCAACACGCAGTATTAGAAGTGATTATTCACAATGCACATTGCCGTGGCTATATGAACTTTTTGGAAAAGGGTCAACGATGTCCACATCGATCCCTTCCACATCACTTCCACTGCTAGGAAGAGAATCGTGAAGGTGTCAAGTTCCAGGCCCTTTACTTGACCTGCATTGCAGATGTGTGATGAAAAATATAACCCACATTTCTTCTTCTCTCTTTAGCCTCGGAATGGATGGTTTTGGACAGTCGGTTGGCATTCTTGGACGCCCGGCCACAGCGTACGGGTTCCGCCCGGATGAACCTTACTACTATGGCTACGGATCCCGATGAAGTCGTCCTTCTCCATATGTACTCTTAGCGTAGAAGAAACCTGTGTGGGTTGGGTTGACTTTGAATCTTGAGCTAATAATGCATGTTGATACTATTGCGGGTCTGTGCTTGTTTTTATTTTGTCATGTTGTTAGCTACAGGTTAACTCTCCCCCTTCCATCCCATGTTAAGTACAGTGGATGCTTGACATTGTTCATCATCAAACCACATCTTGACGCTGGATAACATTTCCCATGAGCCTCAAAAGCAGATGCTGAAAAGCAACAAGACTGGAAAACAAACACTACATTATGTGTATTAACTGACTAATTTAATTTCTATTAAAAAGAAGCATAAAGTACAAGTGAATCAGAGAAAGTCATGTGTTTCTATTTAATGTGTTTCATTAGGCGTTACATGCTTATATAGGGTGCATATGAATTTTATTTTTCCCTGCCCTTTTTGCCCCCTGGTAAACTCTTGAGTATTTCATCTGATATGTGCTACCCAGAAAGTTTATAAAAAGACGTCACCTTTTTATTCCATGACATGTGCCTGAAAGGTTGCTTCCCAATGTTACTGAGTAGGAGTTTTCAACTAACAATGGAACATATGTCATACGTTATGTTATGTATGAATATAGTCTCTTCGGCCATATGGATTCATGTCCTTCTGACTTTAATAGAGACAATCTGGGACATCTGTTAGCATGCATGAAACTAGACTAGTATTTTCCAATTATATTGTTTGTGAAATCTAAGATATGAAAACGCTAATTATGAGTCTCATTGAGGAAAACTAAGGAACAGCATTTTGCTCACTAAGGTACTTGTTTCCCATTTGTTCACTTGTTATAAGGTAGATTTACGTAGCAGGAAATGGAGGGACATTATAATTAATCATGAGTTTTGAAAATAGCTCAATGTTATAATGCTGAAAATCTACTTAAAGCAAATAAAATGGCTATAATCTAAGATGTTTCCAGAGCACTTGCTGGGGGAGGAGTTATGTCGATGGATGTTTCCGGAGCACTTGCTGGGGGAGGAGTTATGTCGATGGATGTTTCCGGAGCACTTGCTGGGGGAGGAGTTATGTGAGGCTCCGAAGGGAACGCACAAAGACCACGTCTGTCCTTGGGTTTTAGGTCTCACTGATCTACGACGCTGTCTATTGGCCTGATTTCTGTTTCAAGCATATAATAGTAGAGCTGGAGAGGGCGGAAATAACTCAGTCCATCTACCTTTTTGAGAAACCAGTCACATAGAAAGTTTTCATATAATCAACAGATTTTTAAAACTACCTCCTGTGTCTAAGGAAGAATACGGCCCTGAAGGAGTATGTGACTCTGAAATGTGATGTGTGTCTTTGGACACACAAGCTAATTGATCTTTCTGAAAATACATATTTGTCTTAGTTTCTTTTTCTGAACCATAGACAATTAAAGCTGGAAAGGGCCTAGAAGTAGAAATTCTTTCCATTGAAAAAAACTGTCCAAGAGAGACGCTCTGATCTGCCCAGCTTATCCATTTGGTCGGTGACATAATTTGTCTGCCTGCTTCCAGCCCAATAACCTCGATACTAAGCACCTTGTCTTGTTATCTGTCACATGTACAAAGATTAAACACACATAATAAGTGACATTAATATAAAAACAAAGCAAACATTCTATAGCTTAACTTCCCACATACTATTACAAAGTGATTTAAGAAGAACAGCATATAAAGTATCTAATGTACAGTAAGTACTCAACCGTCAGCCACTCATTATATTACCTCGTTTTATTTTTTTTCATAGAATTTACCGTTACCTGAACTTATCTTTGTTCACTTGTGTGCTTATTTTCTCTCTATCCCCTGCACCCTAAGATGTGAGGTCTGTTGAGAACAGGGAGGTGGTTCTGCGTGCTGCTGCCTCATCCCTGGAGCGGAAGCTGGCACACCGTGAGCCTTCACAGTGAACAGAGAGTGTGGAGTCACTTAACTCAGATCAAGATTTGCACACTGTAGTGTGAAACTTAAAAGTCCGTAGTGGGGCAGGGCACTTTGAAAAACTAAAATAACATTCCTAGCACATCACAGCCCCTTAAACAAACAAAAAAGCTTTATTTGGGCCCCTCAAACAGCCCACTTTTCGGCAATGATTGTTCCTTTTCTTAGTGGTCTGCGCAGCGCATGGCACAGAAAGGGTGTGTGTTAAATACCTGTGGAATAAACACAGTCCGTAACATTAGGTGACAAGTTCTAGAACATTTGTACAGTGTTTGCAACACAGGGCAGTATTTCTTACAATGACATGGGTGTCACCATGTCTGTGACTGACTTTAAATTCTTCAGCATAGATACTGTGCTGTCCTGTGTGGGTCAGCAGTTCAAGGTGTGCCCTATAGGCAGCTAGCACTAATCATCAGGGATGCACTCTCCAGGGGTAGTACCATCCCCGAAAGGCCCCGTTCCAGAGATGGTGCTACAAATACTTCAACCACCTTGATCTCTGATGACACCTGATGGCTTACTAATCGTCACAGAGTCAGATATGGGTTGTTACTGGCAAAAATAACAGCTTACAGCCCTGGCCGGTTTGGCTCAGCGGTTGGAGCGTCGGCCTGCGGTCCAGAGAGACCCGGGTAAGGTTCCCGCTAAGGGCACGTACCTCGGTTGCAGTTTGTCCCCGGCCCTGGTTGGTCGTGCGGGTGGCAGCCACTCGATGTGTCCCTTTCACGTAGATGTTTCTCTCTCTCTCTCCTCCTCTCTCTCCCTCCCGCTCTATCTAAACAAAAAATGGAAAAATGTCCTCGGGTGAGGATAAAAAAAAAATTAAAAAAATAACAGCTTACAATCACAGTGTACACTAGAAATGAGGTCTAAAACGAATTCAAGGGAGGTGATTGGCCTAAAATATTTTAGAAAATGCCCTCTACTCCTAAATAGGCTCTAAACATTCAAGGAGTCCTCCACTTTTGGAGATGCCATCTGAGGCTTTGTCCCTAGTGGTCCTGGCTCTGTCACTGGTCTGGGAGATTTCTGGTTACCAGCTGGTGATGCTGACGACGACGATGATGACAATCCTGCTTCCAGCAGTGTTACCTCTGCTTCTCAACTTTCCAGGGCAAGGTGGTGGTCAGACCTAGAACTGCACTCTCCAGCATGGCGGTCCCTGTCCACGTGTGACCACTGGGCATGAAACTGTGGCCAGCCCAACTTGTAAAAAACAAAAATGCAAAGTGTCTCATTAATATGTCTCATTAATAATTTTTGTATTGAGTGAATGTGTAAATGTCCATCTCAATCTACTGTGTTGAAACAGAGTATTTAAAAATAGACGTCCTTCTTGTTACCTCTTAACGTGGCTACTTGAAAGTGTTAAATTACACGTGGCTCGACTTGTGTTTCTGGACAGCACTGGCTCTCCAGAGAGCTCGGCGTTCATGGAGCTACCAGGCCAGACTGGACGCTGTCGGTGTCCGCCTCCTTGTGAGCACTGGATCCATTTCTGAGTAAGGGGCAACCTTCGGCCCGCTCGTCGCTTTCATGTAACCTGGTGAAGGAGGTCTGGGCTCCTTTATCCACCTCCGAGTTCCAGCTACTGCTACCGACGAGAACGAACCTGAAGGACTTAGATGACCGAATTATTTGGGTCCACTGTCCCCCGTGAACTCAAGGGGGAGGGATGATGACCGCGACCACGCAGGTGACAACAGGGAAAACAGACTGTGTTTACGTTGAGTCACGCGGTTCTAAAACCATTACGTGCATTCACTTTACTCTCCCAACAGCTTATTAAGTAGAAACCACCCATGTGAATTACAGGTCCCGCGGTGCCACCTGGACTCCCGGCCGAATAACTTCGGACTTCCCGTCTCCGGCCGCAGCCGCCCCAACGCAGGGCTTCGGGCCACGCGGCTCAGCCAATCAGAGCTGCGGCGTGCGTGACGTCCCCGGCGGGAACGCCCTCTCCATAGCCAGACCCCGCCCCTTTGCTATTTGCGAGAAGCGACCGAGGCCATTTTGGATTCGGGCGGAAATCCCACGGCAACGCGGGGTGAAAGCCTGAACGTGACCAGCAAGACGAGCTGGCGCACTCGGCTCGCGAGCTGAGAGAGGAGCCTCTTCACAGCCCAGCAGGCTGCGGGGAGCCGCGGGGGAGCCGCAGGGGTGCCCGAGGGGGGCACGGCGCCCGCACTCAACATGGCCCCGGCCGCAGCGTCCCCTGTGCGGCCGCTCTAGCTCGCTTCCGGGTTCGCGCGCCTCGGTGGTGGCGCCGGAGGGCCGCGGGCGGGCCTTCTGTCTGTCTTCCGGGCCCGTCTCTATGGTGGCGGAGGGACCAGACCCCGAAGGTTGTGGGTGTAGTGGCCGGAGCCTCACGAGGGAGGCGAGGGTGGTTGGTGCCAACAGGGGGCGAAGCGGGAACCGGAGCCAAGACCCTCGGCCGCCTCCCGCCGCCCTCCGGCAGGTAACAGGGCGCCGAGTTCCCGTCCGCGCGGCCCGGGCGCGGGGAGGGGCGGGGGCGCGCGCCCGGCTCGCGGGTCCGCGCTTGGGGGCGAGCTCGGCGCGGCCGCCGGTTGATCCCGGCCCGCGCGTCCGCGCAGCCCCCGGGGCGCCCTGTCGGCGGGGTCGGCGGGGTCGGCGGGGTCGGCTGGTCCCGGCCCGGCGGCGCAGGCGGCCGGACCCTGGAGGGAAGCGCGGAGCCGGGCCTCGCGGCAGGTGGGGCAGGTGAGGGGCAGCCCAGCGACACCGCCCGCCCCGTCCCGAGCGCCCCTCCGCGGCCGCACCCCGTGGCCCCTTGGCCGGGCGCTGTCGCCGGAGCCCAGGGCCCCCCGCCCCCCGGGGCCGCGCCGCCGCGGGACGCCGCCTTCCTCCAGGATCCTAGACCCGGGCCCGGCCCCAGGGGCCCGGCTGGCGCCCGGCCGCGCGTCGCGCTGTGTGTTTCGAATAAAGATGAAACGTTTGTAGGAAACCACGGGAACCCTCAAGAGTCGCCCTGAATCTCGGAATCACTGCACTGGCAGCGCTGTTCATAGGACCCGCGTGCAGCCCCACGTCGCCCCCTCTCTGGGCCGAAGTCAGACTTCTTTTGGGTCCAAGGCCTCATTTGTATCGTGGTCACCTGGTAGGGCCGGACCGAGCTTCAGGCGGGGACATACACCCGACACAGACCAAAGCAGAGGACCCCAAGTAACGTTACCACCAGGTAAAAAACGTCAGCCCTTGCAGGGTGACCTTAGAGCCACAGTGCAGGCCATTATCTCGGGCACTCCCAAGCCCAGGGCCTGGCCCGAGACCGCCCAGGCCGATTGGGGAAGGAGCAGAGCAGAGCAAACCAGAGGACCCGGTTTCTCAGTTGAGCAAGTTGCCCAGTGCCCCAGACCAGGGCTTTGGGATCCACAGGTGGCCCAGAAGCTTGGGGGTGCAGCCCAAGAAAGCCAAGGAATGGAGGCTGGTAGGCTCACACATTTCTAAGGACAAGACAGGATGCGTATGCAAGTCAGAAACGGCCTGGGTGACACAACTAGGAGACCTTTCATTGTCGAGTGGAAATGGCCAATTCTGCAATGTCCCCGAGCTCATAGCACAGGGCGAAGGTGTCCTCCTCCCCTTCTTGTGACTTCTGTCTCAAAGCTAAAAGATTTCGTGTTTCCCCCTTCACTCCTCAGACCGAGAAAGGGCACTTTGGAAATCCCGGTGCTCACTGCTTAACAGTCTTACATGTCAGAAAGTCCATTTCAGCAGGATTATCGTTCTGAAAGCCCTGCTGCTTTCAACAGTTTCAGTGTCTCTTAGGATCCAGTCGTGTGACCGAAAGAATGAAGAATTACTGCTTTTAAGACATTCTCACCCTGGCCGGTTTGACTCAGCAGTTAGAGCGTCAACCCCTGGACCCAAGAGTCACAGGTTCAGTTCCGGCCAAGGGCATGTACCTGTGTTGCAGTTTGTCCTTGGCCCTGGTCGTGGTCAATGTGTCCCTCTCATGTTGATGTTTCTCCCCCTCCCTACCATCTCCCCTCCCCACTCTATCTGAAGATATTTGAGAAAGTATCCGCGGGTGAGGATTAAGAAAAGACAGCCTCAAATCGCAGTCAACAGCATATCTTTTTATCCCACCCTAATAAAGTTTGCCCTGGACACAGGTTTGACGTTAATCACGCTTTTCAAAAATGGCATCTTTCTCTTGAGTTCTCACAAGAAAGGGAGTCATTCCTTTGTAGTTTTTAAGTGATAGTTCTCAGGGCCCGAGACCCAAAGTGTACACTGCTAAGAAAATGGCCAGTTTTGGCCTCCTGCTAAAGCTTTTATGACCCTACGCTGCTAATTATCTCGAGGGGAATCCATACTGCTAGGTCGAAGGTGAATAGATGACGCAAGGCCCAGGGTTGCCACAAGGAAGCGTTCTGCTCAGAAGTGACTACATTCTTCAGCCAGAGCACTGCCCCTGAATCGCAGGGCCCTTCTGTCTGCTCTTGACTCATACTCAGACTAAACGGCGTGAGTTTTGCCGGGTGGATTTTCATTCTCTTGATGTTTCGGAAAGCCGTCCTTTGTGGCCGAGGCTGGCTCCAGAGAGGCCCTTGAAAGCAGCGCCTAGAACTCATTCCTCTAGTCCGACTGGTTTGGCAGACGAGACCTTAGAGAGGAGCAGGGTTTTCTGCTTATGAACCAGCTATTGTTTTCATAGAACACAGACCCACTAGGCTCCCTGCGTGGACCCGAGGCCTCCTGCGTGGAGGCGCTCACTGAGGCAGGAAGGGAATGGCTGTCGAGCTGGGAGCAGTAACGTGCTCTGTAAACACCACTGAGCTGCCCGCCTGCTGCCCACTGGCTCCCTCTGTGCCTGCCAAGCATCTGCCTCCATGCGACTTTGGCTTGCCAGAGCCCTGACTCTACCTCATTGCACCCCTTTACCTCCTGTGGGAGACAGCCAGACCACAGGTCCCAGAGACGACACCCCACCCTTGACTATGTCCAAGCAGAGGAGCCAGATCCACACATGAGCCTGACCTGCTCAGCCGGCGTGGGGGTGTCTGGAAAAGAGAGTTAACGTCGTTGCTTTTCTCCGTGATCCTGTGTAAACTCGAATTTTATTTGCCATCCCTGTAGAAGGGCGAATGTGACGTGTAGTTGAGACACTTGGCCTTTTAAATACCGTTTTGTGGTGTTTTGTTTGTTTTTTACTTAGGGAAAGTGCATTGCTGGCGGGCAGGAGCTCAGTAGATTTGTTCCGAAGCTGACTTCATCCTCTTTCAATCCTCACCCGATAATATTTGTTTATTCATTTTTAGAGAGAGAAACATTGATATGAGAGGGAAATATTCACCAGTTGCCTCCCTTACACACCCGCACTGGGAATCGAACCTGCAGCCTTTTGGTGGACGGGCTGACGCTCCAGCCAGCTGAGCCACCCAGCCAGGGCCGGACTTCCTTATCCTCCGATCATCCTTGTATTATGAAAGACTTGCGTTTAGCTCGCGTCAGCCTTGTCCGGTGTCCCTTGCACAGTGTCGCCCGTGCGTCCGCAGCACTGGGAACTCGGAGGCGTGTGTCTAGAGCAGCCCGGCGTACTCAGAACATAGCGAGTGTGTGGCTCTTCACCGACGGGGTAAAGTCCAAGGGGAGGGTCTGTGTGTAACGGTTATTAGGTTTGTATTTATCCAAAGGAGGCATATTTTAAACTAAAACTGTTAAAGATCAGTGTTTGGCCATGTTATCTGTTTGCCAGATTAGTAAGAACTCTTTATTTTTTAAATTGTGGTAAAACCAGAACCGAAGTCTGCTACTTCTTTTTCAGACATGTTTGGCCTATACAGACTTTAAAACAGTTTGAGCCAACACTGAAAAATGGGGACATTTCCCTGTAAATATTCAAGCTCTTGGCTCCTTCTGATCAAGGACACAACCTGACATCTCTGGGCCTGCACCCTGGTTGTCACCTGGTGAGGGCACAGGCCTGTCTCATAGCAGGTGCTGTGCCCGCTCGGCAGACCCTGCGCTACTCTACTTGCTGGGCTGCTAGGCGTCGCCTGTCGTGACCATGTGAGCTGTGTCCCTGTTGGAAAGACAGGTCTGGACGGGGCAGGTCCACTGCGCATGTCTGTGTGCCTGTGAGTGCCCTGATCTGACACCCACAGCAAAGCTCTGTTCACACTGCAGCGTGGTTTTCAAGTGTGTGTGTGTGTGTGTGTGTGTGACACACACACATTTATAGGGATAGGCATACAATACAGATTTATTTTTTAAAATACATTTGAAGTGTACAATTTTACAAGTTCTGACGTTTGTAGTCACCCATAACCATTATAATCAAGATAACAAATGTATCCATTCCTTCCAAGGTGTCCTTATACCCTTTGCCATCCCCTCTGACTGGGCCCCCACTCCAGGCAACCACGGGTCTTTGTGTTATTAAGAGTAGTTCTCGTTTTCTAGAACCTTGTGTATGTGTGGGGTTTTTAGCATTCGAGGTTGCCCAGCTTTGCACGTGCCCCTTGCACTTAGCATGACTTTGAAGGGCAGGGAGGCTGCCCGTTCTTCTGTGTGTTGTCATTGGTATTCAGTGAGCTGTTCCCTGTCTGTTTCTCCACTGGGATTGTACTGGCTTTATGTGAGCTCCCCATTTGTTCACGTGGTTTTTGTCATTGTTGGAAGTAGTCTCCAGTTTGTATTGTTTTCCTTTATAACTAAGTTATTTTAAACGTAAAGTTTAGTGCTCATCAGGCATGCAACTTCCGTGAGGCGGGTAAGTGCGCGGGTCAGGGACGTGATTGCTCGTCCCCCACCCCGAACGGCAGGTGTGCGTGCCGGGGTCACCGACAGCGTCGCTGGCACCTTGCCGAGCATCACCTAGTTTACTGTCGAAACTGGCAGGTTGGCCTGGCCGCACCTGGGTCCTGGCTCGTGTTGCAGAGACTTGAAGTTTGACCGTGTTCTCTTTCCTTTCAGGTCCGTGGCTTTGGGGAGGGGCTGCCTTAGGCCCCCCGCCCCAGGGATGGGAGCAGAGAGCAGTGCTCTGAAGAGCTGTGCAATAAAGGGGCCCCCGGTCACCCTGCCCTCCGGACTCGCCGTGTTCCCCGCCGAGCTGCAGGATGGCAGAGTCGCGTCGGTGTTTGTGTACAAGAGAGAAAACGAAGACAAGGTTAACAAGGCCGCCAAGGTACGCGGTGTGGCCCCTTCGTAGTTAGTCCTTTTTACTGTGAAGAACATGAAATGATGGAAGGTCAAGGAGGGTGCGCCACAGGAATAGTGTCTTTGTTCGTGGCCTTAACAACATAGTTGTCCTTACTTCACGGGAGTGTCCCCAGCTTGTAGCACGTGGTCAGGGACCATGGGGATACTCAGAAGCTTCATAAAACAAAAACTCAGCTTGTGGCTTCCACACCAGATGTTACTTCGTGGTGAGGCACGTGGGAGGTGAGCGTGTAAAGAGGTCGCTGGCTCTGCACAAGGGTTTCAGTAGCCTGTTGACGGTGGGCCTGGAAATCAATCTTTTAGGAAGAGCTATTTCTCATGAGTCTTTAGGACTGCTGTTTTCTCTCCCTGGGGCAGTGGCACTTAAAGGCGGAATGTGCGTCCATCTGGTCTCAGCTTTGCACCTTAGGAGGAGGAATGTTTCTCCCTGAAATTCTGTGCCCTCCAGTCTGGGCCTCTTGGTTACTTATGTATTTAACAGTGAAATGATGGTATTCTCTCTGTCTACAATCCTGCAAGTGAATTCAGGCTACAGTTAAAAACTACTGCTCTGTGTAATTCTCAAAGTGAAATAGTAAGTCAGAGGTAGAACTGTGATGAAAAGTTAAGCCCCTAAGTCTTGAGTTAACTGTGTACCTGAGCCGAAGCTGATTCCTGGAAGGGGCTTAGTGTGTAGTCAGGACTAGATCTCACCCTCAGCCTGGGTAAGGGTGCGTCCTGTTCAGTCGTCTGGTCCTGCTCCTCTGGACAGCAGAGGTCCTTACTTGCAGTCCCTTCCTTGGCCAGTTCCTGGACAGTGAATGGGTAGACCAGGCATTGGGAAACTCAGGATGGACACTCTGAAGGTGCTGTCGTTCAGTCACCTCTGTCCCTCAGAACAGCTGTTTCTCTCCCCAGTGGATGCTCATTCGAGTTACATTCGGCAAGTGCACCTGGTCGCTCCCTCTGTCCTCTGGAGCAGAAGCTTGAATCAAGAAGTGTTTGCTGGCTGCCGGCCTAGCCCGGGGATCTGGGTGCAGGATTTGATAACTGCGGGGCGGGCGCACACACAAGGTTCTTGCTCGGGGTCAGACAGTGAGCTCTCCCTTCCTTCAGTAAACGCACCAGGAGTGACTGGACCCACAATTCTGCTGGGCATGTAGGATTGAAAATACACAGAAGAGAAAACAAAATTTATTTTTTCGTTTACTAACCAAATGAATGTTTATCAATTGTATTTCCAGGCCAGTAGTAAACCAGGCAGCATTCCTCTGACTTCCTGTTCCCCTGAGCCCTAGAATAAGAATGAAACCAAAGGGAAGCCAGGCCGGTGTGGCTCAGGGGTTGAGCATCGACCCTGCACCACTAGGTCACCGGTTCGATTCCCGCTCAGGGCACATGCCCAGGTTGTGGGCCCGATCCCCAGTGGGGGGCATGCAGGAGGCGGCCAGTCGATGTTCTCTCTCATCGATGTTTCTATCTCTCTTTCCCTTCCTCTCTCTCTAAAATCAATAAAGAAAAAGAAAACCAAAGGGAAATCATTCCAGCCTAAGACAGAAAAGCCGAATGAAGAATTTTTCCTGGAGGCAGAAGTGAAGGAGACTCACCACCCCCCCACCCCACCCCCGTGTCTCCTCCCCAAACTTTGACTCCCCTTGTGGTCCGCACCCTCTCATTGACTGCTGAGTTCCCAGGCGGTTGCTGTGGGCACTGTTCAATTCAGAGCAGGGACCCTCAGGAGGGCTGGGCTGTGGGGGCTGCATCCTGGAACCGAGACTCTGCCTCGTATTAAGTGTGGATAAAGTCGGAGGAGTCCGAGGTTCTCCGGCCTGGTTTGAGTGTGGGGTAGCCGGGGGAGGGAGGGAGCTGCAAGGGAGCTTGAATGCAAGTTTCCATCTCCTGACTCTTCTGTGACATGCATGCAGCTGTCATGGTGGGCAGCAGAGTCACTGACTCCACACTGTGCTGCTTGTGTTTTTCAAGCACTTGAAGACACTTCGGCACCCGTGCCTGCTGAGGTTCTTGTCTTGCACGGTGGAGGCGGACGGCATCCATCTGGTCACGGAGCGGGTGCAGCCTCTGGAAGTGGCCTTGGAGACGCTGTCCTCCGCCGAGGTCTGCGCTGGCGTCTACGACGTCCTGCAGGCGCTGGTCTTCCTCCACGACAGAGTGAGTGGCCGGGACACGCGGCTGGGGCTTGGCTGTGCACGAAGCTGCGTGTGGAAGTCAGGACTCCTGTCTGTGGGCCTGGGCAGTCGGCGGCGTTTGTTACCGCGCTCCCGCGTGGGGTGGTCGGTGCCTGCAGAGGCGGTGGCGGCAGCCGCGGGGGTGTCAGTACAGCAGGCGGCACCGCGCTGCTGCGGACCAGTCCCCCCTCCTCTTCAGTAGTTGGCTCCATTTTCAGTTTTGAAAACAAACGCTACCTTAACGGGGCAGAGTTTTACACGTCCCTTCCCGGCCAAGCAGGTGGTAGCGTGAGAAACGGCCTCTTGCCCTGGCGGGGTAGTTACTGCTGCTGGTGGAGTTCACACGGCGACGTGCTGGGCTCTGGCAGCCCCACCCTGAACACCTGTCACGGGGTAGACGCCTGCATTTCCTTCCTCTTCGTGTACGCCTTTACGTTTTGTCTGTTAGCGGGAGAGTGAGTCTCCAGATACCCGTGTGGATTTATCTTCTCCGGAGGGCGTCTGAGGTTCAGAGAGCGGGCAGCGTCCTCTTGCGTCCACGGTGCCAACTCTGGTCCTGGAAGTCTGTGTGCGGGGGCACCCCTGCCGCTTCTTCGTGTTTCCCAAGTGGAGAACCTTCCGCACTACCTGAGGCTCCCTTTACAGTAGGTGCGCCTCGGGGTAGCAGACGCACCACCAGGCGCATGTTTGCTCTGCCGGCTGAGCTGTTAAAACGCACTTGTCCCCGGGATGATCTCTGGTTTGGAAAAGGGACCTTGTTCTTCACCGTCTCCTCCTCTTCCTCCCTCTCGTATGTGTGGCTGCCTGTATTTACGGTGTCGACTGTAGCTCTGCTCTGGTCTGCGCTGCTCTGTCCGTCCTTATCCACTTCCTCCTCTTGGGCAGAAACTTGTCATGTCTTCCAGGACAGGATTTCAGCTCACGTGGGTCTGGGTTTGGGATAGAACGTGGGCGAGAAAGGATTCAGAGAAGGAGATTAATATAGGAACCTGTGGGAGCAAAGAAACTTGATCTTGGAAGGTCTCAGAGGCAAACATAGGTTCTGAAGATGGTGGGTCTCCTGGCATGGGAACGGGGTGCAGTGTGTTAGTGACGGCCTCGCTGGCGGGGTTGACAAGGCTTCCCAGCCTCTCCCCTCTTCCTGGTCCCCGTGCTCCAGCAGGCCCCTTCGGCGTGCCGTCTCCGGAAGTCCGGTCGTCCACGCAGGATGCCACACGTGGGAAGGCTTGCCAGGCCTGTGTCTGGTGATTCGTATTTAGTTTTTTAAAATTTCCTCTTTCAGGGACACCTAACACACAACAACGTCTGCTTGTCGTCTGTGTTTGTGAGTGAAGAGGGGCACTGGAAGCTGGGAGGGATGGAGACCGTCTGCCAAGTGCCCCAGGCCACCCCGGAGGTAAGCGGTGGCAGGCCCGGTACCAGCCCGGACTCCTGTGGTGCTGGGCGGTCGCAGGTTGGGGACTTGGCTTTTGGGCTCATATCCTAGAAGTGTGGGATTTTCTTCTCCACGGGGCACTGGGGTCATTTCTTCTTTCCTCCTCTGTTATGGCCGAGGAACCTGAGACTGAGGTAAACGGCGTGGTCAGGTTTTCAGTTAAACACACACACACACACACCACCCCCACCACCCCCAGAGCAGTGCTCTGTGCACAGCTGTCGGGCTGTCCGAGTCCGTCTGTCCTAGAGCTGGCGTCGGACTGTGCGTCCCACCTCCCCCCGGCCATGTGGCTGCCGGTGGCATATCCAGTCTGCCTCACGTCCGTGGGTGTCCCGGGGCTGGCCCAGGCCACCCCCTCATGGGCTCCTGCTCACGGCAGCACCGCTTCACCACGAGGCCCTCCTGACTTCAGCTTCCGTCTGGTTCGGTTCTGAGCGTGTAGCTCTTTCTGGGACACGCTCCAGGCTCTTTCCCACGGAGGCGACCAGGCCCCGTCTCTTCCCAGCTTCCCTCGGCCCCGTGGGTGCTCACACATTTGCTGGGCTGCACCGACCTGGCCTGCGCTGAGGCTCACGGAGGGGGGCCGCTGCTTCCGCCTCACTGGCTCTGATCCTGGGCACCCTCCCTGCCCTGGGCTCTGGGCAATGTCAGAGCCGAGGGTAAGACAGCTCAGTGTCCTCTGCAGAGCCCTCTCGGACACCTGCCCAGCAGCACGAGTCACTCCTGTGCTTTGTGTCCCTGAAACTCGGAGTCGATGGTCTCGGCCGAGTGCCTCTGTGGGGCAGAGTGGACTGCATCCCCTCGGTGTTCCTGGTGCCCGAGTGGTGTTTGGGACTGGGAGACTCTTCAAGAGCCCTGCCCTAGCCGGTTTGGCTCAGCGGTTAGAGCGTTGGCCTGCGGTCCAGAGACCCGGGTTCGGTTCCCACTAAGGGCACGTACCTCGGTTGCAGTTTGTCCCCGGCCCTGGTTGGTCGTGCAGGTGGCAGCCACTCGATGTGTCCCTTCACGTCGATGTTTCTCTCTCTCTCTCCCTCCCACTCTATCTGAACAAAAAATGGAAAAATGTCCTCAGGCGAGGATAAAAAAAATTTTAAAAAAGCCCTTACATCAGTGACAGAACGTCCTTGTTCGGTGGTGATGTTACAAGATCCTCAACTTTTCCGTCTCCCATGGCCGCGCGCCTTTCGATGGGGTCCGCGCCCTGAGGTCAGGGGTACGCGCGCTGTGCTGGAGGAGCTCGTTCGCGCCTGCGCAGGAGGGAGGCGGTTCCATGATGCGTGCAGGTGCCCCAGGAGCAGGGTGCCGGCGGAGCCGCGGGAAGGCAGGGACGGCGCAGGCCTGGCGCTGTCCGTCTTCCGTTGGGAGGGTGGGAACGCGTGCATTCACTGGTGGCAGTGTCGTGGCTGCTCTTTCCATCTCCTTGCTTTTGTCACTCGGTGTGAGATTGGTTCACCAACAGCCACCTGAATTCTTTTCCTTATTTCCCGTCTAGTTTCTGCGGAGCATCCAGTCAGTGAGAGAGCCGGCTTGTATCCCTCCTGAGGAGATGGTAAGCCGATGCCCTGCGCTCCAGCCTCTGCCCACCCCTTTGCTGAGCAAACTGAGGCCTCCTAATTCCTGCGACCCTCAGGCTCTGAGTCATCGCCACAGAGGGAGCTTCTCGCCACCCAGCTGACACCCGTGACATTGTTTAAAGGTGGTGGGGCCTCACACACATGGGGGACCTAAAGAATAACATAAACGCACAAACAATGACACAGACGCAGTGAGGGGCCGACGGCTGCGGGGGGGGCGCTGGGTGAGGTGAAGCCAGATGGGCAGGTACGGACAGTCATGGGCTGTGACGTGCAGCACAGGGACAGTCAGTACCACTGCTGTAGTGGGTGTGGGGTCAGCGGGTGCAAAAATACGGGGGACCACTTGGTAGAGTACAGCTTGTCCAGCCACTACGCTGTGCGCCTGAAACTGATGCAGAGTAACACCGAATGTCCACTGTGATTGAGGACGGAAGGGTAACGTGAGATGAAGGGGGGCCTCTGGGAACAGGCTGGTGCTTCCTCCCGGGTCATGGTGTCTCTGCACATGCTGGAGGCAGCACCAGCCATCGCTCCGCTGTCTGCCTCAGTTGCGGGTCCGAGACGCACACAGAGCAGTCACTGCGCTGCGTGCTGGTGAAGTAGCGCTGTTGGCCGACAAAGTAGAAGCAGCTGCTCAACCTGCTCTTACAGCCACTAAACAGACGTTCCCAGACACGTCTGAACGTGCTTTATAGGGAATAAAGCCCAACCAGAGAGACAGACACGAGTAGGAACCTGAGGCTCGAAGGGAGCAGGGTCATCCAGCAGGACTGCGTGTGTGCTCGTGTGTTCTGAGGACTGGTAGGTTGGAAGTCAGTTGGAGAGTTCTAACTAGCGTTCGGAGAAAAGGAATGGAGAATAATCTCTGGGCATCTTCGGTAGTGAAGTTTAGTGTTGTTTTATGAGACCTTGTTTCCATCACGTGTGCATTTATGCGCGTGTGTGTGCCGATCATAGTGAGTAATGACAGCATGACGACGGAGACCGTTTATCCTGGGTTGCTGTCGAGCACGTTTTGAAGGGCACAGACGGAGCCGGGAGTTGGCAGGTGCCGCCGAGGGCAGCTTTGAGCCCAGTCGGCGCAGAAAGGAGAGCGCTTCAGAAATGCTTGCGGCGGCTTCTCCGGCTGTGACGGCCTCTCTGCTTCTAGTCTCCAGAATTCACGACCCTGCCCGAGCCACACGGACACGCGAGGGATGCCTATGCGTTTGGGATGCTGGTGGAAAGGCTGCTCTCAGTCCTGAGTGGACAGGGTGAGTTGACGTTCAGCTGCTGCATGCACAGCACAAGCGGGACACCGACGGCCTGCAGGCCTCCGCGGCAGTGAGGCCGGGGCTTCTCCAGGACCCCTCGTGAAGAGGACCTTTGGTAGAAGCACCTCGAACCCTGGCTGGCACTGTGCTGTGACCTTACTACCTGGCGTGGTGGGGATGGTCCGAGCCCGAAGCAGCCCGTGAGGCAGTGAGCGCCGTTAGGACTGCTGTCTGTGCCCCGCAGGTGCGCGGAGTCCGGTCAGACCTGGTTTCTAAGTGAAGCTTGATGCTTTTACCTTCATTCTGTCAGAGGCCTGTAGAGCTTTTCATCTTGCCATGACCACCTCGTTGCCTGCTTCGTGTGTTGCCCCTTACAGCCTAGACTCCCGAGTCCTGCTTTGCACACGGGGTGGCAGCCTCGCCACTGCCCAGCAGCCACTCCTGGGGACACAGCTCCTAGCCCCTCACCGGCCTGTACCCCCCTGCCAAGGCCCAACCCGCCGCCGGGCTGATGCCGCGGCCTGGAGTCACTTGCACCGTGCCGCTGTCCCTCTGACTGTCCCGGCCTCGGCACTCGGCCGTGCACCCCCGCCCCCCACCTGTCTGGAACGGTGGCGGTTCTGTGCCCTCCTTGGGAGAATGGGAGGTGTCCTTCCAATGGCTCGGTGTTTGGCAGATGAGCCGCCCGGCGACGGCCCGCACACCTGCCCGTGTGACCTGTAGGCCTGAGCTGAGTGACAGTCAGCAGTGAGGGGCACCGGAGGGGAGGCACTTGGGGGTGGCTGCGTCGGCGGGGGAGGTTGGCAGGGCAGTTCCCTGACCTGCCAGGGAGTCGGCTTGAGGACTGGAAGCTGTTTGGCAACAGCCAGGCTCTGTTTGTTTGGGCTCTTCCAGGTTGGTTTTGCTCTCGTCAGTCCAGCTAGAGGCCCTGAGCGAGGGCGCCGCCGGAACTAACTGTCCTCTGGATTTCAGTTTCAGTGGACGTTCTCCGCAGCTTCCGGCAGACCTCGCACTCAGCCCTGCTGAGCCCCGTCCCCCAGTGTCGGCCGGCGCTCCGCACCCTCCTGTCCCATGACATCTTCAGGTAGGGGCCTGCCGGGACGCCGCCCCCTGCACGCCTGCCGTCCACGCGTCTGCCCCAGTGAACAACGCAGCGGCCCCTCTAGTCGTCCGTCAGGAGACCCAGTCGGGTCCACGTGGGGTAGGGAGGCCGGGTCGCCCTCAGGGTCCGGTCGCAGACGGGAAGCGGTAGAAGTCACAGGTGTCAGAAGGCCAGGCAGACACCAGCGGGGCCTTAGGCTCCTGGGGGGGAGAAGCCAGGCCGTGGCCGGGCCTCCGTTGTGAGGAATTGGGAACCTTGATGAACTGGCTTCTCCTTCCTGCCCACGTGTTAGCCACTTGAGTTTGGTCGGACTTGTGTTGGGGTGGCGATGAGCTTACTGTTCCTCAGGCAGCAGGTGTGGCTGTGCCAGGGGGAGCGGCACAGATCTCTCTCCGCTTCCGCTGTTTCTGAGCCTCTCCAGGCTGGTTCGAGTCACGTGTCCCTCGTGTTTTTACCTCCGTGAACCGCTGCTCAGGTTAATTCCACCTTTGTGCCTTCTGTCAGCAAAGCGACCCTGTGTCACCTTTGAACTGAAAGCCCTCGTTTGCAGAGAGCCCGAGAACAGGGCGGAGGGAACGCTGGTGCCCCCAGGGGACACTGACCTCCAGGACGGGGTGGGGGCTGTCGGCACACGGGCAGAGGCGCAGTTTTATGGTTATCGGAGCTCTGCCCTTGTCTCCAAGAAACAGTTCCGAACGTTTCCCTTGCAGGAGCTTTAACCAGGGTATCGCCCCGTCTTTCGTGTGACCCACAATAATGTCTTACATACCCTGACAGTCTCTGCAGACGCTGTCCTTTCGGTAAACAGATTCCCTCGTCACTGCGTGTGGCCCGAGTTCTGCAGAACTCTTAACAGAAAGGGCAGAGGGAAACGAGAAAACACACCTGCTCTCCTTCCCAAAATCCAGGAGTGACACGTGGGAGAACCCGGCAGGGGGCAGGGCAGCCGGCCAGCATCTCCTCCGGGCAGCTGTGCTGCTGGGGGCTGCAGGCTGCGTGGGAAGCCTGGTTCCCAGGGCACCGTCCCCGGAGGGCGGGACAGGAAGACGGACGGCTGTGGCCCCGCAGTAAGCTCACCGTCCCCTGCCCAGCTGGAGAAAGGACCAAACAGCTGCAGCAGGGAAACGAGAGTCCTGGGACCTGTACGGGAGCGCCGCTTCCCGCCTCGTCACTAGTTTTTGCTTCGGCAGAGACTTGAGAAGCAGCACCCACTGCAGTGACAGCCGTTTCCCCAGGCCTCTGGTGTGCCCTCCATCCCAGCAGCGTCGGCACGCGTGCCCTCCGCAGGCCGAGCCCGCTCGCTCCCAGGCTCCGTGGCAGCGGAGCTGCGCAGACCTTCCCCAAGTGCTGCTCGAGCCGCCTGGGTAGGCTTCGGCGTCCACATGCCTCCTCTGATCTGTTCTGCACCTTTTTCTTTTTGGCATTTAGGAACGATTTTCTAGAAGTTGTGAATTTCTTGAAAAGTTTAACATTGAAGAGTGAAGAGGAAAAAACTGAATTCTTTAAGTAAGTTCAGAGCATTAACACCTTAAAACTCAGTGACTTGGGCTCAGTCCATGAAATCGCGTGGTCTGGAGAGGGGGTCAGGCGCCGGGTTTGCTAACGAAGTTTCCCGAACATCACCGTGTCGGGCTCCACGTGCCCAGAGGTGGTGAGGGCGGCCGGTGGGGACGACAGTCCTTCAGTGATCGAGTTCACGGCGTCCTGAGGACACGGGGGAGGGGACGTGCTCTGGGTGGTGAACGGACACAGTGTGCCCTGTGCCTGGGCGACCAGCGCCAGGTCTTGCTGGGCAGGCGAGAGGAGGGCACCCTGCACGTGGCAGTGAGGGGTGTGCGTGGGCTTCGGGCACTGACACCATCCCCGGAGGGACCCCACGCTGCGGAGCCATCGGTCTCCCTGAGAAGGGCCTGCTGTCTAGAGGCACAGGCTCAGCCCGTGGCGGACTTGGGTCCAGTAGCCCAACCTGAGGTAGCCAGGGTGGTAGTGTGAGGCCATACGTACAAAGAAGACGGAATTGCAAGTCTTAGTGATCGCCACCAAGTGAACTAGGATCCCGGAGCAGAGGACCTACCGTGCAGGGAAGAGGACGCACGGACGTTCGGCGTGTCTGTGGACTTGAGCGGTGCCTGGTGCTTGGCCAGGCGGGTCTGAAGCTCGGGAGAAGGCTTAGCTGATGAGCTGCAGGTGATTTAGGGCTGTCAGCTTGTAGTTGGCGACCTTTTCCCGGAGAGAGTGGAGCACGAAAGGACAGTGGGCCCAAATGGTCAGCCCGGGGGCCCTGCCTCGTCAGGGCTGATGGGAGGGAGTGGCTGACAAGTGAGACCAAGGACCGGCGGTTGCAGGGACTCGGCAGGAAGGTCGCTTCCCAGGAGGAAATGGGGGGGGGAGTTGGCAGGAACGCACGGGGCGCTCGTAGAAGGAGCTGCTTCCCAGAGGGAGCCGGCGCCGCGGATTGAACTCCAGAGTGAAGGCAAGGGGAGAAGGTAGCCGTGGGGAAAGACCTCCTCCTGCAAAGATCAAAGCAGGGGAGCACAGACTTGCCGAGGATGGAGATGGAGTCGGGATGGAGTTGGGGACAGTTCTCAAGGCTGGAAGAGGAGTGGAGGGGCTGTCAGTGGTCCTGGCAGGGAAGGGAGTGTTGGCGCAGTGGCTGGATGGGTGGCCTTAAACACGAGGGAACTCCCACCCGTGGTGCCTGGACAGGAGGTAGGGATAAGTGGGATGTGAGTGGACCCGTTTCCTAGTAAAGCAGGAAGCAGGATTGCCCAGAGGCTGATTTGTAGTGGGGTGGCATCACCAGTAATACGTGTTACCCGTGTTCTTGTTAACTCGGAGCTTTGCAGGGGGTGTTTTAATGTAATGAGCTCAGTAACAAAAGGCTGCTTGTTTACTGCGGGATGTTTGGATGATCTAACGTCCTGCATCTTATTTCGGGGAAGCACCTTTTATTGACTCCCAAGCCTGTGGCTGATGGGAAAAAGGACACTTCTGTTCATAAGGGCAGCATGTTGAAAGCATTTCCTCGCTGGGGTTGGAGGTCTGAGTGCTGGGGAGCTGGCTGGCCTCTCACCTGCAGGCGTCGTAACCCCCTGGGACCCACCTGGTCACCTTCCCCAGCTTCATTCAAAGCGCGCCAGCCGGGGAGCAGGGGACAGGCTGCACGGTCCGAAGCGTGCACGAGTGGTCCAGGGCGCGGCCAGCCTGACCGGCCTCCTTGCCCGCAGGTTTCTGCTGGACAGAGTCAGCTGCTTGTCAGAGGAGCTCATAGCCTCCCGGCTGGTGCCCCTGCTGCTCAACCAGCTGGTGTTCGCGGAGCCCGTGGCTGTGAAGAGTTTTCTTCCTCATCTGCTAGGCCCCAAAACAGGTGACTTTTTTTTTTTTTTTTCAAACTGTTGATGGTAATTGAGGAATTTGGGGATGATTAGTCCGTGTTGGAGCAGTGAGCTAATGGCGAGGTGCCATTAGTGTGGCTGCTAAAAGTGGGGACAGTACTGGCCCCTGATGCCTGAGACTCAGACCTGGGTCCCCGAGCCCACAGGGCGGACACGGAGCGTCTTCCTGGAGTCAGACTTCCCACGGTCAGGCTGTCGCACGCACCTGCACGCGCACACAGGACTAGCGTGTAGAAGCAGGTGCCGCTGTGACGGGAGCATCCTCCTCAGGGACACGTGGGCTTGCGGGGAGTGGCTGGAGCCTCCTGACCCCACAGCACCACTTGGTCTTTCTCGGTGCGAGGATGGAAAAGCAGAGATCACTGTACTTCTGTGAACTTCAGGTTGTTTTCTGACTGAAATGAGGTTATTACTGTGTAACTATAGCACCGTAGATGGTAACATAAGCTTAGAGGGAATAGCATTAATGGGCTCTAGAATTTTCAGTTGCTTTTAGAACTTATTTTCTTAGACAATCTCAATCCAAATGATCAGCACAGGTAATTATTACAACCAGAATTTCCTTGTATCTTACTTGATGTCATTCCCTTTCCGTGAACATTTCGCTAGAGCACTGCCCTGCAGTTGCTCAGATCCGAGGTGGGGTGCGCTTCTGCGTCACCTGGAGCTCTAAAATGTTGCCTGTGCGCCTGACCCCCTGGTTCTGGGACCAAGGGCAGGGGCATTACACACACTGTAAAGATTCCCACGACCACACCACCGGAAGAGGGCGCTCCGGCACCAAGTCCCGTGGAGCATTCGGCCCCACCCATCTCACAGACGCACGTGCACCAAAGGATCGCTTTACCGTGCTCATGAAGTTCCCCACTGACTAAGCGAAATGTGTGAAGAGTCATTGTTCGGGCTTCTGTTGAAATCTAAGCTTTCTTTGTAAGAACGACGCAGTATTTTTAAAACGCTTCTGGCCAGTGGGGTGTGTTTATGACTCTGCCTTGAGAAGTTTGGGTCAACAGAGCTTCCCTTTGGTTCGGAGCCTGAGAATTCAGCCAGTCCCGAGGCGTGTCCGGTTCTGCGCTGGGTTGTGTCACGTATAGCGTGGCGCCCTTCACGGAGGGGGCAGTTGTTTTTCATCTGTCCCCCCTCTGCCCGGGGTAGGTGCGCCTGGAGAGACCCCCCGCCTGCTGTCGCCGGCCCTGTTCCGCTCGCGGGTGGTCCCCGTGCTGCTGCGGCTGTTTGCGGTGCACGAGGAGCACGTGCGCACCGTGCTGCTGTCCCACCTGGAGGCCTACGTGCAGCACTTCTCCCCGGAGCAGCTGCGGACCGTCATCCTGCCGCAGGTCAGGTCAGGTGGGGGGGGGGGGGGCGCCTGGGGGAGCGAGGCTGAAATGGGAGCTGCACGGGCGCGCATTCGCAGTCCTGTTCGGCATGGGTTTGGGCTGAGCCTGAGAAAAACGGGGTCGTTGGCCAGTTGTTGGGGAGGAGGCAGCGTCCTGGTGGAATGCTGGGTGAGCACAGGCTCTGCTCGTAGCTGCATGGAATGGTCCTCGCTGAGCAGGAGGCGCTCGGTACCAGGGCTCAGCCTCTGCAGCCTCACAGGAGCCTCGGTAGGATCTGCCCACTCGAGGGCTCCGGGCTTGTTTCCTGTGACCGCAGACTGGCGGCTTAAAACAAGAGAACTGCTCTCGCTCTGGGGGCAGAGCGCAGACTCGAGGTGCCGGCAGGCCCTCCCTGCCTCCGCTCCCGGCAGGCCTCAGCCTTTCTTGGTGTTGGCTGTCACTCCAGTCCCTGCTGCTGCTGTCACGTGATCTTGTTACAAGAACACCAGTCGATGGATGTGGGGCCCACTCTAACCCAGTATCACCTAATTCTGGGGTCGCATTCTGGGTGCACATGAATTTTAGGGAGACACTATTCAACTCATTGTGCAGTCTTGAAAGATTTTGTCAATCATGGGACAGCTTTCAAATGAGAGAAATTTACTTGAAATGCAAGGGCTGGCTTTATGCTAGTCCCTGTGCTGGTGAACTGGGCCTCGGGGTACGTGACACTTCCTGCTCTGAGGAGCTGGTAGGTGGGAAAGGCAGGTGCTGATCTGTGTGAGACACCCCAGAACTCAGTGCCTTCAGATGGACTCATTTTATCCTCATGGTTCTCTGGATGGATGGGGCTTATCTGGGCTTCTGGTCCACAAGGTCAACTGAAGCAGCTGTCATTTGGGCCCATTGGTGCCAACACAGCCAAACGGCTCCTTGGCACTTTGGAGGGCACGGCAGCGATGCCGGGCTTAGCTGGGACATGGGGCACTGCGCCTGTCTCTCCACGATGCCGTGGGGGACACAGTCTCCGTGCCAGGGTAGACGCTGGGGCTGTGAGAAGTGCCAGGCAGCCTACAAGGCCTGGGCTGGGAACTGACAAAGCCACTTCATCATTCACTCAGTTCAAGTGTCACAGATGAGCCTCGCTGTGCCGTGGGTGGGCGTGCTCGAGGGCGTGGATGGTGCGCCGTGGACGTGCTCGAGGGCGTGGATGCTGCGCCGTGGATGTGCTCGAGGGCGTGGATGCTGCGCCGTGGGTGGCGTGCTCGAGGGCGTGGATGCTGCGCCGTGGGTGGCGTGCTCGAGGGCGTGGATGCTGCGCCGTGGATGTGCTCGAGGGCGTGGATGCTGCGCTGTGGGTGGCGTGCTCGAGGGCGTGGATGCTGCGCCGTGGACGTGCTCGAGGGCGTGGATGCTGCGCCGTGGACGTGCTCGAGGGCGTGGATGCTGCGCCGTGGGTGCCATGCTCGAGGGCGTGGGTGCCGGGCGTGGCTCCCTGGGGGCTGGCTCCAGCAGGACCTGTCACTCCCCGTGGAGGTGTGTCTGCAAACCCAGAAGAGGGAGGAGGCTCTGAAAGAGGTGCCGCCGTCGGTCTCAGACCCGGCACTGAGCCCAGGTGGAAGGACTGACAGTCGGCATGTGCCGCAGTGACGGCTGCTGGCCTGGGTGCTGGCGCGCTCTCGGGGCTGCACTGATGGCTGATGTGAGGACAGTCCGGCCGGGAGGTGGCAGGGCCCTGGAAGTGTGGCAGGTTGTGGGAGAGGACAGGGAAAGCAGGGAAGGGGTGGGACTGGAAGTTTGAGGGTGACTTAGGTTTTTGCCTTGGGTGGTGGTTATGATGATCACGTTCAGCTGGTAGAATCCTAATCCTATGCAAAAGAAACACGCTCAAGTTTACTTGTACAGCTTTGTTGTGAGTGTCTGATTGTTGCCCGGCCCGTGTGGCTTAATGGTTGAGGCACCAAGAGGTCACCAGTTCGATTCCCAGTCAGGCCACGTGGCCAGGTTGTGGGCCCGATCCCCAGCGGGGGGCGTGCAGGAGGCAGCCAGTTGATGTTCTCTCTCATCGATGTTTCTGTCTCTCTCTTCCTCTTTCTCTTTCTCTAAAATCAATAAAGAAGAAAAAAAGCCTAGGAAAAAAGTGCCTGATTGTTAGCACTGGACCTGATAGTTACCCGAAGCCCTGCTGCAAACCCTGCTCTTACATGAGTGAGGAGACTGGCACAGAAAATAAAGTGGGCCATCAGTTCAGCTACGGGATTCCTGGCAGAGCTGGGATGAGAACGATTCCCGGTCACCCAGGCCCGCGTCCTGGCCGCAGGTCCCCTGCTGCAGATGCTCTGGGAGTCATCTTCCTTGCACCTGTGCCATTCAGAACAGAACCTCTCCTGACACCCGACGTGGCTGTCTTACTTCAGGCTCTGGCTGGGGGTTCAAACGAACTAAAGCACAGAGGCCTTAGTGCAAGAGGTCAGGTTGCTCCCGAGACCAGGCAGTGGGACTGGAGCCGGCGGTCTTCCCTCACTGGTCGTCCTCACCGCCCGGGACCAGCTCTCCGTGTGCTGTGCGCATGGCCACGCACGGCTGCCCCGTTCCTCTGTTTACCGTCCTCATTTTAAGCTCTTTCCGTGCATCCTCAGCTATGGGGCTTCTGTTCAGCTAGTCATCAGGTGGCCAAGGGTGGTGGCTCTGTAACGTTGTTTTGTTTACCTGCCCGCAGGTGACCATACGTCCCCTTACTGTGGTTTTTAGGATAAGTCTGCGACGGGTTGGGAGGGGGACACGGTGGTCCCTGAGCACAGAGGTGAAGCGCAGCTGTGGCAGGCAGTGGGGCTCCTACACTCACCTGTCCGCTCCTAGGTGCTACTGGGCCTGCGCGACACCAGCAGCTCCATCGTGGCGATCACGCTCCGCAGCCTGGCCGTGCTGGTCTCCCTGCTGGGGCCAGAGGTGGTGGTGGGGGGGCAGAGAAGCAAAATCTTCAAACGCACCGCCCCCGGCTTCACCAAAAGTGCCGACCTGTCCCCAGAAGGTAAGAATGATTTAAAAGGTCTCTTATGGCAACTGCTGGTACTTGATTAGATTTCTAACGTTGTGCAAGTAGCGCAAGTGGCTGTTCAGTCAGGTGACAGAAGTGGAAGGCACAGTTGGTCTTTCCCTCTCCCGACCCCTCTCAGGCCAGGAAACGGAGAGTGGGGGATCCTTGCACCCCTTTCTGTAAGGCCACAGAAGGACAGATGTACATTTACGCACAGGTTTTAACACGATGAGAAAATGCTGCCCAGTTGTACAGCTGGTTATTTTCATGGAGCAGCCCCTCAGGGACCGGCCTCCAGGCGAACACTCGCTCCCGTGACAGCTGCCTGTTTCCCAGAGTCTGATTCACTCGTGAGCTCCCTGCTGCCGGAGAGCCCCCCTCTGGGTCCCCAGCACACACAGCCACGAACCACTGCTCCCGCCTTAGTGCTGCGGCGGCAGGTCCCGGGAGCAGGCCTGCCGGGTCAGAGCGTGCAGGGGTGGGCAGACATGCGGGTTATGGTTATTGCGGCGGCTTTATTAACTCAGAACGTCAGTGCGACTGTGGACCTACTTTTGCCTACTCCTGTATTAGAGATTTAGTAGATCTTGTCAGTTTCCAAAAAGGTTGTAGCAGTTCTTAGTCCAACAGAATCAAGAGCTTGTCAGGTGAGCAGCTGTTGACGTTTAGGCGCTCCAGGGAGCCCTGTTTCCGGCACAGTCCCGGCGGGTGTCACCTGGGGGGGCAGTGGCTTCTGGTCTCAGAGGCAGTGGGGTCAGCAGGTTCCTTGCTCTTGGGCTGTGACGTCGTGGAACTGGCACAGGGAGTTACCGGGAGAGGACCAGATGGGCTCTCACGTGGGGCCAGGGAGTGGTGAAGCCTCACGGACTCCTGAGTGCAGCTCTGAGGCTCAGCCCCTCCGTGCTGGCCAGACGGGGCAGCGGGCGCCGAGGACTGGCAGCGGGTAGAAGCTGCCGTGTCTCCACAGCTGTGGCGTGGACTGAACGGGGCGAGGCCTGTGCTGCCAGAGGGAGGGAGCACCTGGAGCCGGAGGTTTGCGGGATGGGGTGGGTGTGAGATGAGGCCCTGGGACAGCTCTGCGCTGAGGCAGCAGAAGCCCTCACTCCTGGCCTCGGCTCTCGTTCCTGCCTGGAGTTGCTGGTTCTAGACCTTCTACACCTGGGTCACCTGTGATCTAGACTGAGGAGGCCCCGAGGCAGCAGGTCCTTCTTACTAAACTGTTTCCTGAAGACACAGCAGGTCTAATCCCAGGCTAGCCCAGCTGGACGCCAGGGGCCCAGATGGAGACACTCAGCTTTTCCTCTTCTTTTACTTGCCTGTGTGGCAGACTTCAGTCTGCTGAGAGTTGGGGGGACGTGTTAGAGAAGAGGGTGAGTTAGATTAAGAAAGACCGGTAGGACTTCAGCAGGGAACACGATGGCAGAATGAAGCGAGGGTGGAGGGGGGCCTAACTGCTGGTCTCCTCCTCTTCTTAAAGCAGAAGGTGTATCAGGCAAAACTCTGTTCAAATCCCTTTGAGCAACACCCACTCCTCAGAACGTCCAGTGTCCCAGGCTGTCCCTTTCCTAACCAGGTGTTATCAGAAGGGCTGTCTGTCCTTCCACACCCCCAGGGCAGGCAGTCTGGTCCATGGTGTCCGTCCCTTCAGATGTTTGATGCTCTCCTGCACCTGATCTTGTGTCAAATATACTGCGGCTCACCTATCACGTGCTGGAGCAAGGCCCGGTGCACTGTCCCTGTCATTCTCTGGAGCTTGTTTATCCTCAGATTCTCCCACGCACGGCCAGCACGGGACCTCCCCGCTCTCCGAGAGCCCCTCCAGCAGGCTCCCTGCGGGCTTCTTTTCCGGCAACAGGCCCATCGACAGTGAGAAGCACAGACAGCGCGATTCCTACAACACTCTTCCCCAGACAGGTAGAGATACTCAGTCTGCATGGCGTTTCCACTGCTGGGTGAACATAAAATTACCTGCACTTTGACACTGCTCACAGAGGTGAGCTCGGGTGTCACGCTGCCTTCCTGGGCCACAGGGTGTCTGACTGCCTCTGCTCCACAGCTGGGCGAGAAGGGCAGGTTGACATCAACGGAATCCTTTTTTGCAACAAACACTTGACTTGGGGCCTTCTGATGCCTCATTGCAGCATTTTCCGAGTCGTCTCCAATACGAGCTCTGGGAGACACTCAGGTGTGCCCCAAGGGTGGTGTTGTGGTCGGTGAGTCTGGGGAATGCTAGTAGTCACCACCACACAGGCCTCTCTGGACCACACACTCCCACAGCTCACACAGTTGTCATCACGAAGGTAACGTCGTCTGGCTTTGAACACTTCTGTTTATAGACAGTTCTGCCAACAGCAGTTCCGCTTGACTGCTTCAAGGACACTGTTGTTCTTGTGATTTAGTGTAAGGGTAGTTCCAAGAAATTCCATCTGTACATGTCTTCAGTGTTACCTTTCCCCTAACTATACTTTTGCTTTCAACCAGCATTTAGGAGAGTAATCCTTGTACACACCCCGCAGGTGATCGGTTCTCTCGGTCGAGGACATTTCCCATGAATGGACTTTCAGACGCGAAAAATACCTCAGGAGACGGTGAGAGCCCCCCGCCAAGCCCCCCGGCGCCCGAGGAGTGGCCCGACTGGAGTGAGCCCGACAACAGCCTCGTCTGCACCCCGGTGTGGCTTCCAGAGCCTCCGCAGGCTGTCGGGGCTCCACGCGCAGAGACTTGGGCTGGCCCAGGAGGCGGAGTCCTGGTTACCTCGGGGGAACAGGACGCCATTCCCACGTCACTTCCGCTCACAGAGGCCAAGCCCTTGGCATCGAGCCCACCCCAAAAGACTGGTCCTGCCCCAAGCATGGACGACCCAGGCCAGGCCAAGCCACCAAAAGTGGCATCACTAGAAAGGTGCCTGAAGGTTCCATCAGAACTCTGTTTAGGAGAGGAGTTCACCATTCAGGTGAAAAAGAAGCCAATACAGGACCCTGAGTTGGATTGGTTTGCTGACATGATCCCTGAAATTAAGCCTTCAGCCGCTATTCTTGTTTTACCTGAACTGAGGACAGAAACGATGGTCCCCAACAAGGATGGTGTCTCACCAGGGATGCGATTTTCCTCAAAATTTGCTGCAGCAGAAATGACCGAGGTAAGGATTTCCCTCTGGGTACCAGCTGCCTGGTCCCCTTCATAACAGACACCGACCTGTCTTCCCGCCGAGGGAAGAGACAAGTGTGCACAAGACTGGTGGTAACAGTCAAGGCAGCAAAAAGTGAGTAAAGTCACTTCCTATTACTACCTTTCCTTCCCCAGAAACACGTAGCCACTTGTAAATAATCACTTGGACAGGGGAATAACCAAGAATAAGGTGTCATCAGATGGAATTCATTGGCTGAGACCGTGCTCAAGTCATTTTACTTGTTAGCACGAGGAATGTATTCTGGCACCAAAAGACAAGTGTGAGGCCCTGTAAACTGCTGCCTTTTGATGGAGATGCTGCCCCAGTGGCTGCCCTTGGCTTTGTGTCGTTGCAGGCGGAGTCGGAAGGCTGGGGAGACGCTGGGGAGCTGAACTGGGGCGACAGCAGCTGGTGACAATGGCTGTGAGTTAAACTCTGGGAAAAAGGATCCTTTTCCAATACGTCAAACCAATACCTCAAGCAGGCTCTGCAGACAAGAAAACCCCCAGGCGTCCTGCCTCATGCCAGGAGCTTTGCCAGTCTGTGCCAATGAAGCCAGAGCCCTGGGTGCGGCCCACAGCTGGGGAAGAGCCTGCGCCTCTGAATGGGGCCAGGTAATTCTGGAAGTAAAGGAAATAAAGACAAAACTTCAAGCTGATTAGCTTTACTTTGTGCCATTTCTTTAACACAGGTGAGAAGAGTAAGCTCTATTATGAAATATAATTTACTGAAATTTATTAGCTATTATGTGTATCAATGACTTAAAATTGTTATGGTTTCCGTAGGCAGCTTATTTATTTGTTTACAGTTTCCCAGAGTGGGGACTGGGCAGGTACTGACTGTCCCACATGTATTCCGTGTACCAAAGTTCATGAAAAATGTCCCCATAATCCTGTTCTCTAAACATCCAATAAAGACTATTTTCACTAGATTCACCTTGACAGAAGTTGTTTTGTGTGTTAGAAAACGTACAGCCATAGTTACATCACTGTGCCCTTACAAACTACACTGTAGAACGAGTCCTGCGGTCTGGTCTACTCAGGCTTCATCTTGGAGCCCACAACGCTTCAGCTCATCAACCTGTTCCTGCAGCCGCAGCACTTCCACGGGAAGCCAGTCCGGAGCCGGGCCGGTCTGCAGCAGGGCCCCCACGGCCTCCAGGGCGGCTCTTGCTGCCCGCACTGCCGACCTGTACTCTTCCTCCAGGGGGCGCTCGTGACGGGCTCTTTTCGAGGAAGGCTAGCAAATGAGAAAAACGTAAGTGATGCCGTGGCCCCTGTTCTAAGACTCAAGAACTTCCCTTATGGACTGGAGCGGAGCTTATTAGAACCACTGTTAAAGCTGTACGTGCAACGTCATTCCAGTCCCTGGTTCACGGGCTGCGCCTTCCGCCGTCACCTGGCAAACTGCAAAGGTACTTGTGTCTGTCGGCGACCCAGGGAAGCCTGGACGCGTTGAGTTCACAGCTGATGACAGCGGTGGCCTCCCGGGTGCTTCTGGAGCCAGGTCAGCTGCACCGCACAGGGAGGAGGGGCCGAGGCACCTCTGTGCTCACTGTCCTCAGCCAGGCAGTGTCAGTACTGAGACTTCTTCACAGCACCGACAGAACATGTGACGTCAGACGTCAGGCTAAGGGTCAGTCTGGAAGACAAGTTCCTCACATACTGTCACTGCCCAGCACACTGCCGACTGCAACCCAGATGCGCTCAGTGCTCAGGGAACACTTGAAACATCCTCCGTGGTGGCCGAGTTCGGCCGGGTGGCAAGCAGACAGGACTCCCAGACAACACTGCCCAAATGATCGGGCTGGTCTCGGGATGTGGTGAGGGAGCTACTAAACTTTCTGGAAGGGGGTTCCCTGCTTTCCTGCTGTGGGTCCAGCTGCTGCCCTGGAGCGTCCCTGGGGCAGAGGTCACCGCAGGTACGTGGACAGTGCGTTTGGTATGGTGTTCAAACTCACTTTCCTGCAGTCCTACCTGTTTTAGGTGCCCACGTAACCTTTCAGGGCAAAAAAATATTTTTAAAAGAGCAACTACCAGAAAACAGGAGGCTTTACACGTCTAGGTCTATCTGATACTCAGCGTGAGTCCAGAACTGTCCTTGCTTCCGTGCTGCTCACTCAGTAAGTCGTGAGGGCAGTTTCCCTTCTGACAGCCTGACCCACACTAGTGCAGTCCATACCTCTGAAGACGGCCACTGCGCCTCTTCTGACAGAACTCTCGCCGAGGAGCCCCAGAAAATCCCCTTTTCCTGTTTCACACGCTCCACTCTGGCAGCTGCCGTCTCATCTACAAACCCCGTCTGCGAGAGAGGGAAGGCAGGTCAGCAGCGCCCTCCCCAGGCTGTAGCGTGAGGCTGCCCCCACTGCCTTTTTATTTTCTTTATTGATTAGAGAGAGAGGGAGGGAGAGGAAGAGACAGAAACACCAATGAGAGAGAACATCGACTGGCCGCCTCCTGCACGCCCCCCACTGGGGATCGGACCCACAACCTGGGCATGTGCCCTGACCGGGAATCCAACCAGCGACCTCTTGGTGCATGGGGTTGACGCTCAACCACTGAGCCACACCAGCTGGGCCACCCCAGCTTCTCTTAACCCTTAACTGACACCCATGGTGTCCCCACGGAAGTGTCAAAGGAGGCACATATATGGGAGCCGGAGGATTGAGTCCCCATGTTCACAGCAGGGACAGGGTCCCGGGGTGGAGATCGTGGTGCTGGTCCGTCAGGGCAGAAGGGCCATGCCTGTTACAGCCGATCGGTGGTGACCACGAGCCCTCTAGGCCCCCAGGGCACAGGGGACTCTAACTGTGGTCAGGAACAGTCAGGGTCCTCCCTGTCATCTTACTGCTGCGACTCCACGTGCTTCACTTCTGTGACGTGTAACCGTGCAAAAAGTGAAGCCAGGGAGACAGCCTTACCTTCTCCAGAAAGGATACAACTCTGTCCTTAGTGTCTTCAGACCGGAGGCACTGCAGGATGACGTCTTCATGATTTGTTCCCTATGAACAATTGATAAGGCCGATTTCAGTGTATTTCAATAAGGACACGTGCATGAGGGTTACGGGCTGGCTCACTCAAAGATGCAGTTTAAAGGAAACAGCACCAGGACCCTCGGGAGATGACCAGCCCCTAGTTCAGGCGCCTCGGGTACCACCTGCAAAGCATGCAGCGGTCACTCTGCTGCCATCCTCGTGTCCCAGCAGACAAGCCAGCAGGCCTGTTCACTGCCTGGCCCCAGGACAGTTTGAGATGAGACGTAGCATCACCCAGCCCACAACCGGCGTCGGGGAGGCGCCTGCTGCCTTGGCCCCACCACGGGCCCCGAGGAATCACTTCCTCCAGGCCTTTTGCAGGAAGATCTCCTGAGGCGGAAACTGCCCCAGCGACACAGCAGCAGCTCGTGTTTCTGGGTGTCTGAGTGAGTGGAGGGTGCCCTGCGGTCACCGCCACGCGGTCTTACCTCGGCAAACTGCGTGAACGCCTCCAGGGCGTGCTGCTGGAGCAGCCAGCTCCGGTCGGCCAGCAGCGCGGCGAACACGGAAGACAGGCTGGGCAGCACCCTGTCCTGGGGAGCAGAGCAGAGCCGCGCTAAGCACAGGACCTCGGAGAGGAAGCACACGTCCGCACGCGCTCCCCACCGCGCCGCTGTCCCCAGGCTGCCTGTCACCCGCCCTGGTCAGCGGCCTGGCAGCAGAAGGGCCGGGGTCCCTGACTCACTCCCCAGGCGTCAGAACACTGCCCAGCACACGGGAGCTCAGTACATTTTTTCTTAAATAGGAATCTTATCTTGTGCGTTTAAATGCCTCTCATGTGCGGATCAGATATAGGTAAGTCAACATAGACTTTTCTAAAAGAAAAAAACGTGAAATGAATCGTTTCCCCCCGTCTCGTCAACAATCCTGGGCTGAAATTAAGAGCCTGAAACCTGTCCGTCGGTCCTTCTTGCTGACTCCGTGAGAACGGCCTTGCGTGCTACCTGCGTGGCTGGCCAGAGAAGCGTCTTCCCCAGAGCACGCACGAAGTCCAGGGCGGCCAAGCGAACGTGGTCCGGAGGCTCCCGTCTGAGCAGCGAGGCCTGCACAGTTACCACCTGCAGAGGCAAAGACCCAACAGGGATTTTGCAGAAACGTCCTGACAGATTCTGATGGGGATGTGGGAGGGGAAACAAAGCAAAACCCACGACAGCTGAACACCCCCAAGCTCCCTTTCGTGAAGGCGGGCTGTGGCTGAGGCAGGGTGGAGCCGTCGCTCGGCGTCCCCCGGCCCCGTGCGGACAGGAAGCCACACGCCAGCGCTCCTTTCAGACCGTCCGAACTGCTCTGTCTTCAGTTCTAGTGGCGGCTGTGCACTGTCACCAGCAGGGAGGGCGGACCCTCCGTCCAGGGCCAGGCGGACGCATTGGGGCTGCGGCAGCAGGTGCCCGGCGCGCACTACTTCAGACCTTCCAGAATGTAAAGCCACTCGGCTCTCTGCTGAAAGGGCAGGATCTACCCAGGGGGCATATTGGGCCGACCCCTGGCAGTGTCTCATAACATCAGAACCTTCGGAATCAACAAATTCAAACTACTGCATTCAATATGATTTGAATCAATTATTTTATCATTCTTTCTCTATAATTCATGTCACACACATATTTTAAAATATACCTAGTAAGCAAATACTTAAATTTTCCATGTACACAACCACTAAGCTACTGAAACAAAGAGCTACTGACACCAAGCATTACTGGTTTTACCTCCCCCCATACACTGTGACAGGATAGTTCTTCCATCACCCACCCTCCTGAATAGCAAGGGTTACTTTTACTAAGTTTTTCTTTGTCCGTTTATGTTACTACGCACAAGCCAACTCCTGACTGGGGGATCGTGTGTCCACCCTGCACTCATTCCAAAGCCTCTCAACCACCTCAGGAAGATGAAGGTCCTTTCCCCTTTCTCTCCATTGGCCTAGAACCTCCAAAGTGGGGGATAACTGAGCAACACCCAGACTCCCCAAACAGTGACCCCGGTTCTGCCTAACCAGGCCAGGCAGGCCAGGGTCAGAGGGAAAACTCGGCAGGGCAATCACTGACTTCCTCGAAGGAAGAGTAAGGATCGGCCTCCGCCCACATTGGTTGCAGCCCTCGCTACCAGGGCCGCAGAGATGCCTTTCAGCAAGCTGGGAATGCGGTCCAGCGCCAAGGCTAGCTCAGCCTGGGGATTTTTCTGGGAAGTTCAAAGCAACAGAAAAGTTCTGACTGTGCCCTCAGGGAGACAGACAAAGGCTGAGTTAACAGCCCAGCACACTCTCAACACTCCATTAGAAGGAAGAAGGAAGAGATGAGGAGGAGCCCCCCCCCCAGCCAGCGTGTGCCTTGGCTACCTGCGGTCGAACAAGAAAGCTAACAAACTGAAACAAATTATTAAAAGGACTGTTTCTCGAGTTGTTTTTAACTTATCTTTAGTGTTGAATGTATTACAGATGTTCCCCCAGTTTTTCCCCACTGACCCCCTCCTTAATCCCTCCCCCTCCTGCCTTCCCCATACTATTGTCTGTGTCCTTTAGTTATGCATATATGCATAGAAGTTCTTTGGTTTATCTTATCACCCCTCCCTGCCCCCTTCTCTTTGAGGTTCATCAGTCTAACAACCAATTTGTACTTCTTAATTCCTTCATCTTTTTCACCCCCCCAGGCCCCGCCCATCTGGCAAGCAACAAAAAGTTCTCTGTATCTGTGAGTCTATTTCTGTTCTGCTTGCTCATTTGGTTTGTTGATAGATATGTATTAATTGCCATTTTATTGTTCCTATTTTTGTTCTCCTTCAAAAAGATCCTTCAATATTTCATATAATACGGGTTTGGTGGTGGTGAACTTCTTTAGCTTTTTCTTGTCTGGGTAACTCTTGATATGTCCATCGATTCTAAATGATAGCTTTGCAGGATAGAGTAATCTTGGTTGTAGGTCGTTGCTTTCATCACTTTGAATATCTCTTGCCACTCCCTTCCCTTCTGGCCTGCAAAGTTTCTTTTGAGAATCGGTTGAGTCTTATGGGAGTTCCTTTGTCGGTAACAAACGCTTTTCTCTTGCTGCTTTTAAAATACTCTTTGACTTTAACTTCTGGCATTTTGATGATGATGTGTTTTGGTGTGGACCTCTTTGGGTTCATCTTGTTTGGGACTCTGCTTCCTGGACTTGTATGTCTGTTTCCTTCACCAAGTTAGGGAAGTTTTCTGTCATTGTTTCAAATAGGTTTTCAATTTCTTGTTCTCTCTCTTCTCCTTCTGGCACCCCCATGATGCAAATGTTGGTACGCTTGAAGTTGTCCGAGGCTCCTTACACTATCCTCATTTTTTTGGATTCTTTTTTTTTTGCTCTTCTGATTGGGTGGGGTTTTTTTTTTGTTTTTTTTTTTGCTTCCTTATATTCCAAATCGATGGTCTGCTTCTTGGCTTTACCTACTCTACTATTGAATCTCTATAAATTACACTTTATTTCAGTTAGTGCTTCCTTCATTTCTGATTGGTCCTTTTTTATGTTGTTGATATTCTCACTAAGTTCCTTGGAGGTCTCCTTAACACACTGTTGGCTGCTCACAAATTAACTCATAAAGAATTTTCTGAGTTTGTTGATATTGATGGGACAAACGAAAAAAAAAACACATTGGAGGGATTACTGGTCAATGGACCCTTTGGTTGAAGCTCCAGTATTTCCTAAGACTATAAGCAGAATGACGTTTGAACAAATTCTTACATTTTTCCATCTTAGTGATAATTCACAAAATACATCTAATGAAGACAGACTGTATAACAGTAGGCCTCTTTTGGATTACTTTCTTCCAAAATTTCAGTCTTTGTATGTACCTAAGCAGGAGTTATCCCTAGATGAAAGCACAGCGAAACCAGATGTATTTGCAAAACATGTTGTGTACCATTACACATAGGTGATTGCTACACTGTATACCACACACAAAATAATTACTAAAATACATAATATGTATAAAATATAATATGTAGCAGATATGTACAAAGTTTCATTGAAATTCATTATGTATACAAAAAAGTTTACTAAAGTTTAGTTAGACTGCTTCACTTTCATACTCAATTATGAAAAAGTAGCTGGTGACATGAGATAACTTCTGCGTAAAATTACTGGTCAACAAAGTGTTAAGTTCCTTGACTGTCTCACCAAGTTCCTTGAGCAACCTTATGACCAGTGTTTTGTACTCCGCATCTGTCAGATTGCGTATCTCCATTTTAATTCTTTTCCTGGAGTTTTGTTCTGTTCTTTCATTTGGGACATGTTTGTCTCATTTTGGCTGCCTCCCCATGATTGTTTCTATGTATTAGGTAGAGTTGCTATGTCTCCTAGGCTTCGTAGGGTGGCGTATTGTTGTAGGTGTCCTGTAGGATCCAGTGGCACAGCCTCCCTAATCACCCCAGCTGGGCCCTCAAGGTGCACCCCTAGTGTGGACTGTACACCATTCTGTTGTAATTGAGTTGATTGCTGTTGGCCATGTCTATGGGAGGGATTTACTCAGGTTGATCCAAGGACTGGCTATGCCCACTGACCACTGGCCTCTGACCACCACACACAGCAAGACTTACTTCAGCAGGACTCTGGTACCTACTGAGTCCACTTATTGAGTGTGTCACTTGTGGAGGTGGTTGGGTGGTGCTGTTTTGATGTGGTCTGAAGCTGTGCACTGGGTGTGCTGGCTCAGGGGCAAGGTTAGCCACTGCCTGTGTTCTATCCAGGGCCACCCAGCATAAGCTACAGAGTGATCTGCAGATGGCTGCTTCTTGTGCTGGGCTTGGAGCTGCCCAGGAAAAGCCAAGTTGTGAACCAAGGCTGGCTGCTTCTAGTGCCAGGCCTGGGGCCACTTAACGAGAGGTACGGGGCTGGCTGAGACCAGATGCTCCTTGTTTGAGATTTTAGGAAACTCTGAAGCAGGATCCAAGACAAGCCAATCCTATGGTAAAGCCTTTGGAAACAGCTTGGGTGGGCCCGAAGGTTGGGTGGGGCAGGGCTTCAGGGAGTCACCAGGGCGGGGCTACCAGTGTGAACCAGGTTGCTGGAGTCCCAGATATGGTGGCTGTCTGCCGCCCCAGGGAAGGGCTCACCAAAGGAACAAAGGCCTCTGACAGCACGTCTGTGCAGGAGAAAGCCCCCTCTCCAGTCTTAGTCCGGAGGCCAGACAGCTCAGTTCTACTCTGTATGTCTCTGGTGCTCCTCAAGCTGCCTCCCCTCCAAGCTTAGAGGGAGCAAGTCCCAGTAAGTCTGTGCGCGGGCCCTTTAGAAGGAGCTGCCTGGGGATCGATCCAGCAGCCTCAGCCTCTCTCAGCCTCAGTTCCCCCCCGTTTTTTCCAACCAGAAGTGATGGGGATTCTCTTCCTGGCACTGAAACCCTGAGCTTAGTGCCTGGTGTGGGACGGGGACCCCTCAGTCCTCAGGGAGGACCCTCCCAGCCGAGGTGTCCTCCTGATTTGTATCTGCCACAGGAGGGGTGGGACCAGCCCGTCCCCTCTGCCCTCCTACCAGTCTCCATGTGGCTGCTTTAATTTCGTAGTTGTAGGACTTCCATTCAGCTCCATTTCAGGCGGTTCTGAATGATGGCCGTGCTGTAGTTTAGTTGTAATTTTGATGTGGTTGTGGGAGGAGGTAAGACCGCATTTACCTACACCGCCATCTTGACCGGAAGTCTCTCGAGTTATTTTACTTCCTCAACAAAGTACCAACTTGCTCACTGTTCTTACCTGAGTTATCAGCTGAGGATCTAGAGTTTGAATGAAAAATCCCAGCAGTGGAAATAAAAGGCTGAGTGTCTGTTGAACATAAGCTTGACCTGTTACCTTAAACAAGAAACAAAATCATTCTGGTGAGAATTTTCGATTACAAGTGACTAGGAGCATCATCCTATCCCAGGTGCTGTCCATCACTTCCCTTAGGCCTCACAACCCTCTCAGGCAGATCCTCCTCTCAGCTCACCGAGAACAGGGGCAGAGGTCACGCCATCTGCTCAAGACACACATCTAGGAGAGAGGGCCACGATTCAAGCCCAGATCTAGTCACTTCTGTCTGCCTCTGACCAGCCCAGACATGAGTCCTCTCCGCGCCCACTTCCCGCTCCACGCCCTCTCGTGACCCCTAAGTGCTGTCAGCAGTGGAGCGCCGGCTCCCCGATGCGCATTTCTCAGGTGCCGTGTGAGGACTGGGGAGCACTTGCGAAGTGGCAGCTCTGCGTCTGGGAAGTCTGACCACACAAGCTTCATGCTGAAACACCTGCAGAACCACGTCCGCAATGGCCCTACCATGGGGCTGCTGCCTTCAGCGCCCCCTGGTGGACAGCTAGAGGTCTACATTACTTCTCTTCGGTCGAATAAAACAAACGTCACGTTCAGCTTTCTAAACTACAGCACTTCAAACTGCCGTGACCCACGGTCTCCCCCCTCTACTTCCAGCCTGCTGTCCTCGCTGGCCATCCATCCACCTGTTCCTTCCACCTTTACGCCCCGAAGATGTCAGTAAAGAAACCAGAATCACAAAACAGGCTAAACTAACCCGAAAGAGAAGAAAAATAACAGGGCGAAGAGACTTAACAAAAACAAATTGGGTCCAAATGGTTCTGAAAACAAGCTGGACTGTCATGTCTTTACCAGGTTCTGGTTTTACTAGTCTAATCCCTCGCTCATAGAAGAACTGGTTTTACTAATCCGCTCGCTCACCCTCACTCATAAAAGGACTGGCTGAAGAGTCCACAGCAGTCGTAATCCCAAGCCCTACCCAGCACCTGCAGAAATGAGATCCCTTTCCTCCACAGGGAAATCTCAGCACGCTTCCTTTTCAACATACTATCCCTTCTTCAGGGACATGACCGGTTGCTGTCCTTACCAGGTTAGCGTTTAGAAAAGCCCAGAGCTCAATTCCAGCGTCCATGACTGCCGCCTGCTGCCCGACCTCCAGAGCCTCACCAGCAGAATCACACACCACAAGCAGAGCAGAGAGAGCCGTGTTCTAGAGACCGGAAAAGGGCCCGAGTTTAGACACCAGCCTGGAGGAGCTGAGCCCGATTACGCAGAGGTTATGAGTTACTCATAGCTCTTCGTAAAAGTCCATGTGGAATTATATTCCTAAGACCCAAAGCTATCTTTTCAGTTATTTCTTTAATGTAACTATATTTTATTAAAACTAACTTTCCTTAACATAGGAACATTTGCTTCATTTTTCTAAATAAACCTTTTGTCCTTTTAGGTTGAAAATTTTAAAATGAAATAAAAAGAACATTGTATTTTAACGTGTCACGGGTTTGATTCCCAGTCAGGGTGCGAAGCAACCAATCAATGTTTCTCTCTCACATCCATGTTTCTCTCTCTCCCTTCCTCTAAAATCAATCAACATGTCCTCGGGTGAGGATTAAATATATATATACTCATCAATTTAAAATTCTATTTTTTTAATATTAGCAATCTTTTTAAGTTACTAAATTTTTATTGCTGCTGCTGCTGTTTTGTAATCAATCTTTAAAATTCCTCAGCAACTCTGCATTCAATAAGCGAATCCAGTGCTTAAGAAGTACACGATCTAGATCAGAGACTGAACACACCTCCTCCGGCTCACTCTTGGCTGCACGTCCCATCTCTGCCCGCACCCCCTCTCCGGCCAGAAGTGGGCGAGGTCGGGACGTGGTGGGCATGAAGGCCGCGAGAATGAAACGAGAGCAACGATGCCTCTCACCCCTTAGTCGACAACCCACTGAGTTCTATGTAATTACCATACTGCTCGTCATTTCCGATTCACCGTTTTCCTTTTACAAATAAACAGGTCATGCGAGTGGGTGAACTGAAGTTTTGGTCATATAACAAAGATTTACTCAACTTTAAAAATAGGTGCTTTTATTTTACCCAACACAAAATATTTTTTGTCTTTACTACAGAAATTAGTGCACAGTGAATGCAACCCTGAACTCAGTCTGCTCCTAACCAGGTATTTAATAGTTCTCCCAAAATAAAGGCACACGAATACTTTCATTTCCTTTGGATATATTATTATTATGCTCAAGTGCCATTAAATAAGAGCCCCGGAACACTGACACGCAGGAATGAAATACGAGCCCCGCGAACATCCTGAACTTCCTGGCCCCCGAGCCTCTGAGGGCCCCGCACCCGCCCTAACTTGAGTTCTCTACCAGACTATCCGTTGTTTCACTGCCTCGCTAAGCTACAGCGTAGGTCCGTGAGAGTTGTTGTTTTGTCCCCTGATGTCCCCAAGCTCAGAACAGAGCTGCCACATGCAGGCACTCAAAATCCGTCAGAATGAATGAGTGAGCAAATGAACACTGAGCTGGAAAATTCAACACATTTACTATCATCAGTCCATTTTCAAAGTCATGTATTTACTACTTCTTCCAGATGAGTTTCTTTGTCATTCCATTGTTTTAAGAGGGAGCCTGCTAAACAGAAAGGCACATCGAGGCTCAGGGCAGATCTAACAAGGGGCCTGTCAAACAGAAGGTGTCTGCCTGACCCAGAGTCGTGTCAGCAAAAATACCAGATGAAGGATTTCATGCTGCATGGTGTCCAATGTGTCCTGAGCTTCGGAAGCCCTCCCCACCATGTAATCTACATCATCTAAAACGAAGTTTCCACACGCCCTTTAACACAAGGTAGAAATCTGAAAACCTTGCCAGTTTCTAACCTGAGGGCAGAGACTGGTGCATCTATCACCACCCATCCCACGCCCTACAGTGGTGCTCAACAACCGCTCCCGAATAATCAAGTCAGTGGAACTGATCACTTGCCAGCGCCTCGAGCTCCCCCACAGTGCGACTGCTGCGGAGCCACCCCCGGCTCTGCGTGGCACCCACGCTGGTGACCTCGCGGGCGGCCTGCTTCCTCAGCTCCGCAGGGAAAGCCTGGAAGGAAATATGTTGCCACAGAGGCAGATTCTCTGTTGCTTCCGGAGGGAACGTCTGGATAAAGTCCACCTGGAACACAGGAGAGCACCGTGAGCAACCAGACAGGCTGATGGACGGCACAGAGGCTAAGCGTCACCTCCCAGACCTCTCCCACGTGCTCAAGCGAAGGCGCCCGGTGCCAGGTCAGGGGACTTAAGTGGACGAGCGCTGCCCTGTCGCACTTGCCTCCACAGGAGCCAGCTGGAGGCACATGACAGAGACGCCCCGAGAGTGTCCCAGAGTGGATTTCCGCAGTCAGGCCGGCTACTTCCTCGGGCTCCTGCCCGGTAAGCCCACGGCCTTCTAAGAATTTATATTCTCGTGCCTTGTACGATTAAGTAATACTCCAAAGATGGGGATGACAACTTAAGCACAGGTGACAGGGCCGGCTTTGCAGGGGAACTGGCTGTGCCCCACCTGAGACAGTGGCCAGCGTCTGGTGTGAGTGAGCTTGGGGAAGGTCTTTACTTTCTGAATCAGCTTCTACATCTATAGAGTGGGAATGCCATCCACCCCTTGTACAAGGCTGATAAAAGGACCAAAGAGTTCAAGTGCCTGGTACAAGGCTGGGCCCACATCAGTCTCCAAAGGTCCGCTCCCTCCCTCCCTCCTTCCCTAGAGGAAGGGAGTGTGGGAAAGAGCTACGCCGGGCAGAGCGGACACGGACAGCGCCCCCTCTAGGTGTGCTTCAGTGTCTCCATCTCAGGACACGAGCTCTCCCAAGGACTTGCAGAACAGGGGTTCAAATTCAGGTTTTCCTTTCATCTTAAACTGTAGCACAGCAACTTGACCAGAGCAGCATCTATGTGATAACTGAAGGAAAAATATTCCAAGTAACCTGCATTCATCCTTAACTTACATATCTGATACCCTCGATTACTGGGAAAATTTTAGAAAACGGAGATGTGAGATGTCTAAAAATAGATTATCTCCTTTATAACAAAGCTTCTAGACTTCACTTAGAGCAAACTTGTTCTGAGTTGTATTATTCTAAAAGTTAAAATTTCACAACAACCCTGGGGAAAGGATAATCTTACTCCTTTTTCGTAAGTGAGTAAACTGAAGTTAAAGGACCCTTTCCCTTCCTCACGAACACGGTACCAGAAGCCTAAGGCCTCTGATGGGGAGTCAGGCAGGAAAGCTCACGGGACCTGGAGCGGACCGTTCGGGCTGGAGTGTGGGAGGGAAGAGCCTGCCTTCTGGAGCGCAGCTCGGCCCGGGTGCTCTCGCCTTGCAGGCGCCGGCACGGAAGAGGGTTTGGAGATGGGGGTGGTTCTGGGGCCTGGGCAGCCTCTCCAGGCAGGAAAGCAGATGTGGGCTTGGGGCAAACACTCTAGTGAGAAGGAACCCCCAGCATTCACTGAGCACTCTTCCAGTGCTAGTGTTCTGCATGGATTATTCTGAGTCCTCACATTTTTCAAACATTACACACATCCACACTTCGCAGACAGAACAAGCTCAGAAGGCGGCGCCCGAAGTCACAGTGAGCCAGGATGCAAACCAAGGCCTCTGACCCGCCGCTAACCTAGCAGTTCCCAGGTGTGTATCCGTGTCAGATTCACGCAGGAATTTATTAACAAAAACAAGTCACTGAGCCTCCCTTCCAGCCAGTACTCCACACCCACTCCATTCAGACGAAGGTCCGGGAACCTGTACTTTGGCAAGGCTGCTGCTTCAGGCAGCCCAGGTGCCCAGCAGAGGCTGGCTGCACGGCCAGCAGGCCCCGTGACCGCAGGACCCCTACAGCACGGCCTGTCTCCCCACAGCAAAGAGCTACGGCCATCACACCTTCAATTCCCCGCGTGTCGGACATATCTACTGTACAAAAATGAGACACCATGAAGGGCATCAATAATGTCCGGCTCTTCACGTTAGTTAAGGGGCAGGAGACACAGAGCCATTTCATGCATGTTAAACGCACGGGAACGAGGGAACAGTCTCAGGAAGAGGGTCAGAGTGAGCACCTGAAACCCGCAGCGAGGCCGACAGACCTCAGCCAGCTCCTCTGAGCCTTCTTACCCACCCTCCTGCAACCAGGTTCCTGTGCCCCGCCAGGCTGCACCAGTCCGTTTAGAAAGGGTCTCTCACCCTTGCTGTCTGGTCACCTGGTCTTTGTTCAGCAAGAACCTCGTCAAGACGGTTTAGCAGAAATCACCCTGTGCGATGCTTCCTCTTGCTAACTGTCCGCTGAGCCCGCCTGACCGAGCCCACACGTCCGTGCGGAGCTCAGAACCGAGCCCACACGTCCGTGCGGAGCTCAGAACCGAGCCCACACGTCCGTGCGGAGCTCAGAACCGAGCCCACACGTCCGTGCGGAGCTCAGAACCGAGCCCACACGTCCGTGCGGAGCTCAGAACCGAGCCCACACGTCCGTGCGGAGCTCAGAACCGAGTCCACACGTCCGTGCGGAGCTCAGAACCGAGTCCACACGTCCGTGCGGAGCTCAGAACCGAGTCCACACGTCCGTGCGGAGCTCAGAACCGAGCCCGCCGAGCGCTGGGGCCTCCTTTCCCAATCGCAGTTCCTGCGCGACGTCTGCGTTTCCCACTTGAACTATGTGGAGTTCTCGTTTTTCTGACTACATCAAAATCTAAATCTATCTAAAAGCCATAAGCAAAGCAATAAATCGATACGTTAAAAATTTTGCTGTCAACTTTTAAACAGAATAAATGGGGAGAGGACAACACCCTCCGACAGCCTGAACCCGGCCCCCGCGGGGGAAGACGTGAGGGCGGACAGCCTTGCCTGCTGGGGCAGGGCCAGGAGGAAGCAGAGGCGCCGCAGCAGCAGCGACAGGTTGGTGAGCTGGCAGCACTCTCCGGGGCCAGACTTGACCTGAGGAGACAAGAGATCCTGCCTGAGACCACCGCCCCACCGCCCCACGTGCCGAGTGCCAGGAGCTCTTTCTGGGAGACAAGACTACAGGTGACTTACACTGTTTTCTTCCGTGAACCTAATTACTTTTATAATGAAAAAACTATTTTGATATTATATATTTATTTTTAAGATTTTTAATTTATTTTTAGAGAGAGGAAGGGATAAGAAGAAAAAGAGAGAAACAGTGATATGAAAGCAAAACATCAACTGGCTGCCTCCTGCACACCCCCTTCTGGGGCTGGAGCCTGAAACCTGGGCATGTGCCCTGACTGGCGACCTCTTAGTGCACAGGACGATGTTTAAGCAACTGGCCACACTGGCCACGGCCTGACGTTATATTTTAAACACCACTTTGAGCCCTGGCCAGTTTGGCTCAGCAGTTAAGAGCATCGGCCTGCGGTCCAGAGAGACCCGGGTTCGGTTACCGCTAGGGGCGCGTACCTCGGTTGCAGTTTGTCCCCGGCCCTGGTCGGTCGTGCAGGTGGCAGCCACTTGATGTGTCTTTCACGTCGATGTTTCTCTCTCTCTCTCTTCCCCTTCACCCCCCCCCCCCCACTCTACCTGAACCAAAAGTGGAAAATGTCCTCGGGTGAGGATAAAAAAAAAACAAAACACCACTTTGAAATCTCAATTTCTAATTACCATTTTGATGACAACTTCCTACTCAAAAACAATCCGTGGAGTTTTTTAAGATCTCAGCACAACAGTGCACAGGTGGATATAACTCTGTATGATGGAAGCATTATTAAAAGATTTTGTAAACTCAATTTTCTGGAAATCAATTCCCTTCATAATATACTAGGGTTAGGGACCAAAAAAAAAGTAAGGAATAGGTCATGACCATCTTAAATGGAACATATCAAACATCTCGGAATTTAAAAGTAAAAACAGGTTAACGTGAAAAGATTAGAATAAATCATCACTATGTAATTTTCTCCTGTATCCATTCACAAAGCATCACTTCTTTCCCCAAAAGGCATTGGGCTCCATCACACTCAGTCTCTCCAGACCGAAAACATACAAGTCAAGAGTCCACTTGCCTAAGTCATATGAGAGAGAAAGAAATAGAGAGCGAGCGAGCTCTTGGTCATTAACATTGCAGTTCACTCTCTCATTCTCTACTTTGCATTTAATTTTAAATGTATTCTCAAGCTAGTCTTTATTTCCCAGAACAATTAATGAAACTCAATAAAATTTTGAACATATGAAACAATTTTCCCAGTTTTACACTGTTTCTAGAGCATCATTCTCAACAGCATCAATGAATGGCCGCAATAACGTGGCTGCCACGTATTTCTCCGTTGCTGTTCACTTTCTTTAGACGAGCGTATCTCCCAAGGCCCGGCGTGGGCAGTGGGGCCCAGGCCTGCAGCTGTACTCACCAGGTGGGCCACTACGGTGACGTGGTGGGCACAGAGCTCCGCAGTCCCGTATCTGCGATGCAAGGAGGCAGTCTTTACAGTTGTTTATACAATTTCCCAGAAAAGCAAGGAGAGACTTCCATAAAGCACTAACTGTTCTAACTGCAGTTATTCCCACGGCCAAGGAGTATCAACATACTAAACCACCTAAGCAACAGTTACCTATTGGCTTCAACCAAAGGAAGGAGAAAGGAACTCGGTTCCTAACTAAGTGCTGTGATATAAAATCAAACCACTTGGGGGCTATAAAGGCTTATTGAGACAGCACTTTTCTATAAAAGTACAAATCTAAAATCATTTACTGCTGGTCACTACTATGAATCAATCCGAAACCAAAGCAGTAAGCTGTACCGAGCAAGGAAGCACCAGGCGTCCATGGCCAGCAGGGCAGTGATCATGTTAGCACTCAGCACGGCGCTCAGCAGGGCCACGTCCTGGGGAGGCACAGAGCTCACGTAAGTTGGCTTTCACATTACTCTCCTCAAAGTAAAACAAGCAGGTCCCAACACACCCTCAAGGGAAAGGCTCCATTCCCTAGACCCAGAAGGAGCCTACGCTGCATGCCGGTCCCTGGACAGGTCTTCAGCACCTCTATATTGGACACTGTGCTGGGCATGGGGACTGAAACTGGTTTTAACTGTGGTAACTCCATCCCTGGGATCTACCAGAATTCTCTGAGTAGCTCAAATCGTTAAAACAGGTGTAACATGTAAGAAGCCTATACTTTTGTTTCTGCCTTTATCCACACAGTATTTATACTACTGATAGTACCCACTGTATAGTATCTTAAATCATACTGGTACTTCTGTAGATCCTAAGAATTTTCCCTAGAATTTCCTCAGCATCTTTTCTAATCCAACTCCACTTAGAAACTCTCTTACCAAAGATCATACTCCTCTCCACTTCTTCTCCTCATGAACTGAGTTGGTGCAAACCCGCACTCTCCTCCCTCACTCGTGTCCCCTCCCTCCTAGTTCTCCCAATGTTGCAGCTGCCTCGACATCTGAACGCTATGGGCTCCAGGGTCATCGTTTCCCAGGACATGGCTGAGTTAAAGGGTAAGACGTGAGCTGAGACAATGACGGTCAAGAAGAACATACACTAACTAGTCCCACTTTCTTCTGTATATAAACCACAACTTCAATTTAAAAAGAAGAGAAACTTCAGCTTAGCCCAACAAGTACCAAACTCACCAGCTCCGGAAACAGGGAGGGATGAAAGGAAGCGATAAACGTGCACAGGTGAACACAGACGTGCTGATACAAGGGGACGGCGCCCGCGGCTCGCCCTCCACCCTTCACTCCCTGTAAATGAACAGGCAGAGACAGTTCACCAGAACACTGCTCAAAACTGCAGAAAAGCGCTTTGAGTAGAGGTACCCTGCAGGAAAATTGAGAATATGGAACCCAACGTTATTAACACTTAATAATTAGCAAATATAATAACAACATATCAAAGTAAAATATCTCAAGAGATACCCATTTCCTGTATGTGAACATGTGTACAGAAAACCAAATGCAGTCACCGTCAGAGAAAGTCCTCCGAGGACAAGACTGCCTGCACACTTTGTATCATTTACCAAGTGTCTATCCCAGAACTATTCAAAGTCAAAGACAGAATCCATCAAGAAACTTGATGTTTCGCCCTGGCCGGTTTGGCTCAGTGGTTAGAGCATCGGCCTGCAGTCCAAAGAGACCCAGGTTCGGTTCCCGCTAAGGGCGTGTACCTCGGTTGTAGTTTGTCCCCGGCCCTGATTGGGTCATGCAGGTGGCAGCCACTCAATGTGTCCCTTTCACGTCGATGTTTCTCTCTCTCTCTCTCCCACTGAACAAAATCTGGAAGAATGTCCTTGGATGAGGATTAAAAAAAAAAGAACCTTGATGTTTAAACAGCCAGAGAGCATTGTAAACCAGACAGGACAGTTCCGATGGGGGAGGTCATGTTATGACTGAAATGGTTCAGGAAACCTTCAGAGGATGTGAATAACAAATGGAAGCGGACAAGCTGCAGAGCACTGGTAAGCCTGAGTAACAGGTCTGCCAGAAGCCGGGCACGCGAGCAGGAAATGGGCGAAATGATGAGGAGCAAGAGAAGGCGGCAGCAGGACGGAACGGCCTTCCGGTGCAGGGCTGAGCAGTCTGACGTGAGACTCCTCAGCTTTAGTTTGTGAGCAGCAGGGAGCCCCAAGCTGGCTTAGGAAGACTGACGAGAAGGCGGCACTGAGATGGGCCAGAGCGAGCGACACGTCCCAGCACAGAAGCACCCAGGGAAGCAGGACAAGCGAACTCCCAGGAGGACACGCACAGACCTCACACCCGCTCACCATAGCCCACGTTCCTGTTACTAATCACATCCACCGCTACACGTGACGTCTACGACACTGCTGGGCAATGCCTTCTAAAACACTGAACAAAATTAAAATAGTTTAGCATCTATAGATTTCTATTATTTTTTTTCCTCACCTGAGGACATTCCCACATTTATCATCAGATAGAGCGGGAGAGAGGAGGGAAGAGAGAGAGAGAAACATTGATGTGAGAGATACACATCGAGTGGTTGCCACCCACACGACCCCCACTGGGGCCAGGGACAAAATGCAACCGAGGTACATGCCCTTCTCGGGAACCAAACCCGGGTCTCTCTGGTCCGCGGGCCGACGCTCTAACCGCTGAGCAAAATCGGGCAGGGCTATAGATTTCTGTATTTTATGTGTATTTTTATACAGCAGCAACTACACAGGAGGTCTACAGTAACTGTTAACTAGAATGTCTGACACAACAAGAAACATAATTTCAAGATCTTTCCAAACAACGGACATCTAAACCACCCCGTGCCCAGAGGGAGCCCATCACTACCTGGGTGCAGCTTTGGAGGCCGGACTGTGGGCACACCAGAGGCTCTGCACCTCCCGGGGCTGCGCGGGCAGAGCGTCCAGGATGGTGACCAGCAGGAGGCACTGGGGGAGCTGCAGGGCACAGGGCAGCACTGTGGGGCATCAAGCACAGTGATTGCGTTACAACCGACCGCAAAGCATGCTCTGCGCCTTTTCAACTCATGTAAAGAAATTAGAGGCATCATTTTTAAAAATGAGAAATATGTTACAAGAAAAAAAAAAAAGTAAAATAAATTTTTACTAAAACTCTCAAACAAAAAACGACGACAGCTTGAGGGAAGATGACCCTGCCTGTTACATCACGCCATGACTAACGAGCGAGGCTGCACAGGGCTCGGTCTGCCGCTCACCTCGTTCACTGTCCAGCACCGCGCACACGAAGGGCGGAAAGGGGAGCAGCTGAGAGACCAGCGGATCCAGGGTAACCAGGAAGGTGCCCGCGATCTCCTCCTGCTGGGCCTGGGAAATCCCGGCGGCATACAGACTGGGAGGGACCTTGCTGGAAAGGGAGGGGACACGCAGTCATCGACCAGCTATCTTCCAATCTCAGGAAGAGGTAAGTACTGCAGACTGTGTTAGCAGTGAGCGTATGAAAACCAAGTAGCGTGTGTTTTGTTAAACAAAATTCAGACTGCGGAAATGACACCATGACTGTATGAAGAACCTCAGAACTCAATAACAAGGCTCAACACAACACTGAACGTCTAGAATCTTAGTGAAATCTCGGAATTGCTTTGATGCATTTTAATACCATTTGAAAACAATGTCTTCTAAAAATACTGTAAAAGTCTGGCTGGTGTGGATCAGTGGTTGAGCGCTGACCCATGTACCAAGAGGTCACCAGTTCGATTCCTGGCCAGGACACACGCCCAGGTTGTGGGCCCGATCCCCAGTGGGGGGCATGCAGGAGGCAGCCAATCGATGTTTTCTCTCTCATTAATGTTTCTATCTCTCTCTCCCTCTCCCTCTCTCTAAAACCAATAAAGAAAAAAAAATTAAAATACTGTAAAAATATGAATCTTAACTAGTAAAAATATTATATGTAAAAAGACATGTCTGATAAATTCTTGCATAGTCACTTGTATTGAAGGTCACTGTGAAACAGACAGAACGCTGAACTGGCCAGGGAGGAGCACTCAGATTCCCAGGAGCAAGGCTGCACAACATACTGGCCTCCAGGGAGGCGTGCAGACTGCTTCCTGGGGACGTCTCAGTAACGGGGTGTAAACTAACTTCAATTGAAACCTATGTGAAAGGAGACATGTGCTCAGACTTTCAGCCATGCCATTTTAATTGTGGCACACTGGACAGTACATGGGAACACACCGTCCCACGGAGGATTAGGACGCTTAAAAGAATGCACTTAAGCCCTGGCCAATGTGGCTCTTTGGTTGGAGCACTGTCCCGTACATCAAAAGGATGCGGGTTCAATTCCCGGTCAGGGCACATAACTAGGTTGTGGGTTTGATCACCAGTGGGACACGTATGAAAGGCAATCAATCAATGTTCTCTATCACATCAATATCTGTCTGTCTCTTTCTCTCTTCCTCTCTCCAAAATCAGTAAGCATATCACTGGGGAAGCGGGGGGAGAGCCCTGGCTCAGTTGGTTGAGTGTTGTCCCATGCACAAAAGGGTCTCCGGTTCAATTCCTGGTCAGGGCATACTCCCAGGTTTCGGACTCGACTGCCAGTCGGGGTGCAGGTGGGAGGCAACCTATCAATATTTCTTTCTCCCTCTCCCTTCCTTTCTCTCTAAAGTCAATTTTAAAAAATACACTTAAGTTAAACACTTGGGGCCTTTGTAGTGTGACAGAAAAAGTGCCCATCTGTCAGTTATCAGTTATTAGTTCCGTGACTTTGGTACATTCATTTGATCTGGAGTTGTGAGAATTAAATTTTAAGGCAAAGAAGTTTATAAATAAAAGGTAATGAAACTCCAGACTTGAACTATAGCTACTGAGATCAAAGTGTTTGCATTTCAATCAAGTGGCACATTTTAATGTATGTACTTGATAACCGTGCTGAACGCCTGTGTATGGTCACGCGGATGCACAGCAGTAAACACACCACACAGAATCGCAGCCTCTGCAGTGTCCATCCCAATGAAGGGAAGCAGTTAGCAAAGGGAACAAGTACATTCACAGCACAGTGGACGTTAACATTGTGGAGAAAAACAAGGTAAGGTGAACAGGAAACCTACTGAATTCTATTTGAATATTGAGTCATTTGAGGGTTTGCACAGAAGTCACAAGATCTAATGTGTGTTCTGTCACTCACTCTGGCTACTATGTGGGGAAAGACTAGAACAAGACAAGGATGGAAACAGACAGTGGCCTGGATGCTCCTTCTCAAAATCCAGGCAAGAAAATAACAGTGGATGGGACTGGCTGGAACAGCAAGGGGATGGGAAGGGGCTGCACTCTGTTACAGTGAATATACATGTTTGTACTAAAGGCGGTGACAAAAGACTTTTGCTAAATAACCAGATGAGGGGGATGAGAACGAGAGAAAAACATTAAAGATGATGGCAAGGATTTGGGGTCAGACCGATGCGAAGAAGGAAGCTGCTATTTAAACTAAACTGAGGAAGCACAAAAGGAATAGACTGTGTGTGTGTTGCGGGGGTGGAGGCGTAAAATGGGTGGGAAATGAGTTTGTTGGGTGAGTTTAAGTGTAGTTACATTAAAGGGAAAAAGATAAATTTAAAGTCTTGAGACTAAACATCCATCGAAGGGGCCAGAGGGCACAGGGCGGCTGCCCAACTTGAGAAGCTGGGAGAAGAGGGCCCGCCCAGACGGCGGAGGAGCAGCAGCCAGTGAGACCAGGACAGAACCCAGAGGGAAGGTGTCCCGGAAGCGAACAGAAGGCTCGAAAGACAGGGCCAAGCACCGCTGACAGGACAATAAGGTGAGGCCTAAAACTGACCCCAGGCCTGGTCGGTTTGGCTCAGTACAGCATCCGCCCTCAGACCAATGAGCTGCGGGTTTGATTCCGGTCAAGGAAACGTACCACGGTTGCAGTTCATCCCTGGCCCTGGCTGAGGTCGTACGGAGGCAACCAGTCAATGTGTCTCTCTCACGTCGATGTGTCTCTCTCCTTTCCCCTCCCACTCTATCTGAAGATAAACAGAAAAATATCCTCAGGTGAGAATTTAAAAAAATAAAAATGTAAAAAAATAAATAACACTGACCCCAAGATGTGGCAACATGGAGGTCACCACTGGCCTTGGCAAGAGCTGTTCTGGGAAATGGTGGAGTAGAAAGTCTGCCGGGGACAAGTGTAAGAAAGCAAGTACCGCCCTGGCCGGTTTGGCTCAGCGGTTAGAGCGTCGGCCTGCGGTCCAGAGAGACCGGGGTTAGGTTCCCGCTAAGGGCATGTACCTCGGTTGCAGTTTGTCCCCGGCCCTGGTTGGTCGTGTGGGTGGCAGCCACTCGATGTGTCCCTTCATGTCGATGTTTCTCTCTCTCTCTCCCTCCCACTCTATCTAAAGAAAAATGGAAAAATGTCCTCGGGTGAGGATAAAAAAAGAAAGCAAGTACAGTTAGTACAGCTGACGCTTGAACAATGCAGGGGTTCGGGGCGCCAATCCCCTGCACAATTAAGTCTGTGTATAACTTCTGACCCCTCGTCCCCAGCAGCCTGCTGCTGACTAGAAGCATTGCCAGCAACAGTCAACAAGTACTGTGTCCTATCACACACTAGATTCTTACAGCAAAGTGAGCTGAAGAAAGCGTCATTTTAAAAATTATAAAGAAAACACACGGCATTTACTGACAGAAACCCACGTACAAGGAGACGTGTGCAGGCCAAACCCACGCTGTCCAGGGCCAAGTGCAGAGACAGCGGTGCAGACAAGCTTCCCAGTTGTGTTAACAGAGGCAGAGAAGCGGGAAGGAACGTGGTGGATGAAGCGCTGAGAGGTTTTGTTTGCTTTGTATTGTTCCGAAGACGGAAAAATAGCAGCATGTGGATACACTCAGGGGAGTGATGGAGGGCGGGGAGGCTGGCGATGGGGGAGGAAAAGGCTCCCCACTAGAGCGAGGTCCCTGCGCACGGGAGGGACGACTCCAGTGCACACGTGGGGTCTGGCCTCAGAGTCCCCCCAAGGGAACAAGGGCCTGCGTCGATGGGCTGAACACAGGCCACGGGACTGTCCCGTGTTGTAGGGCGCGTGCGGAAGCTCCCGCTCCCAGTCCCACCACGCGCGCCGTTTTCTCGGTGACGCAAAGTGAGGACACCGCCTGACGAGGGGATGAGGCGTGGAGGACGGACGGGGGCGGTGTGAAAACGGGTCGAGGGGGAGAGCTGAGAGGCCCGGACAAGCGGGCTGCCGGGTTATTCTGGTGTCGAATCCAAGGTAACTGCCAATTTCCAATATCACTTAGCCCCTTTCTAACGTAATACTTTCCTGGAACTCACATTTTTTCTGAGATGGAGTTAACTACCAATGACTTAAATCTCATGGAAGTAAAATCTAAATTAACAAAGATAAACAAGATGCCAGTAGAAAGCACACACGCATACATAGCCTCTTTTTCTGGCCTTTGGTATTTATCACCACACCTGTGATTCACCACTTGGTATAAGATACTAGTTAAGAACACAAAGACATGCAAAACCCACATGGAACCTACTTCTTGAAAGCTGGCATCTCCAGTTATTTTAAGCAAGTAGATAAAAACTTATGAAAACTTTAAGATGACTGGTTCAAACGGCGCTGTTGCCTCTCAGTAAACATACGGCACTTACCTGTGTATCTGCAGGTACAGCTGGTGCAGAGCACAGCAAGCGTCGGAGAGGAAAGGAAGGAAGTCCTATGGCAGAAGAGCGCTAGTCATTCTTTACGTACACGTACCTTTCTGATGCACGTGCTTTCAAAAAGGCATGCAAAAATCAAATAAAACCCTTGCATGAGACTATAACGGAGGATAAAGCTAAGCATCTATAATTCTTTACTGTTAAGACTGTCCCCAAGCCCTGGGGGATAGTGAAAGAGACACACCCACTGGCTGCCCACCACATGACCGACCAGGGCTGGGGACCAACCGCAACCCAGGTACATGCACTTGGCCGGAATCGAACCCACAGCTCTTTGGTCCAAGAGCTGACGCTCTAACCACTGACCCAAACCAGCCAGGGCTAATTCATTCACATTTATGCATTATAAAAAATAAGCCTTACCTTAGTATAGTGCAAAAGAGAGTTGGCAAGGAAACGACACAATTTGAGTGTTTTCTGAAATAATCTGTAGTCAGTATTATCCTATTTCAAAAAAAGAAAATAAACCATAATAAGAAAAGAATATGAAATTAGCTTAATTTGTAAATGAGACAATTTTTTATAAAAAGGTCTCTTAATAAACACGTAGGGCGTAAACATTTTCCAAGAAAACAGACTTCTACCCTGAAATGTTAGGATCAGTATAAATAAACACCAAATGACAACAGAGACACTTTAAAAAATTAAACCCATGTTACTGAGAATAAATCAATATATAATAAGCAAAAGAGGTGAGCATTCTGGGTCGATCTATAAGTGAAAGAAATTTAATTGCCTTATTTTTGCTGTATGCAAATGAACAGATGGTCAAAAGAAAAAGGTAGTAAAACCAATAAATGATATATGAAACAGGCAAAACACACAAGAAGACAGTTCACAGAAAATACAAACTGCAAAAAAACTATTACTGAAAAGAATCCAGATTACAATCTCAGTACATATGTTTTGAGGGGGAAGAAGGGAGGGTTATTCAATTAGCACAAATTAAAAAGGCTGATAATACCCCAGGGTTGATGAGATGGTGGGGTAGTGAGCACTTTCTTTTGCCATTCGTGGGAGCATAAAATACTGTACTCTTTGCATTGTTATTAAAAGCTGAAGTGTTAAAATTCCTTGACTCAGACAGAAGCAGTTCCACCCTGGAAATACATTCTAAAGGAATACTAGCACAGGAATGCAATGCAACATTTTTTAACTAGCAAACTTGGTTCAAGTGTCCAACTGGAGAATGGTTAAATAAATTCAAGGTAGATTCATAAACTGCAATAGCAATTATTTAAAGGGATCAGGTAGATAGTATTTCATGACACACTAAGCACTAACATAGATTATCAACTAAAAAATCAAGTTGCAAAACAATACGTATAAAATAAAACTATTATTATTTTAAATCGTATGTTGCATGTTAATCCTTACTCCTTAGCCCCTCAAAAGTAAATGGAGACCCTACCTGCGGCCTCTCTGGCAGAGGACAGTGGTACTCCACTTTCCTGTCAGGCAGCTGTGTAATGGGTGTTTTCTGAGCTCACATTACACTGTAAGCTGACAAAACGTGGGGGTTACTGCCATGATCGAGGCATGTATGCAGGGAGTTAGAGACTCGGAGTCATCCTGCAGGACGGAAACCCTGGCCCTCCCACACCTACTGCACGGTCACGGGAACGCTGTCTACTCTCTGCGGGGTTGCAGTTGGCTTATACGAAGGTTACTCTAAGGGTTAGAGTCTGACAATTTCGCTCAATAAATACTGGCTATGTCACCCAAATGTGTTATACACATTATAACCCAAAGAACCTTATATTTGTACCATGAAATTCTGTCAAATACATACACTGTTGTCTTTAATTTTGAGAATAACATCTCATGAAATAAAACATCTTAACTTTAATGTTAACCTTATGTTCAATTTCTTTCCAACATAGCAAAACCATATTTAAACCAATCAAAACAGAATTGGACAACCCACTAATCAGACATGACCCTTCACTTTGACCTACATTAAAATTTAAAATACTTGAAAACAGTCACTTTTCTTTAGCAGAAACAGGTGAGATGAATACTGACCTTTTCTTTGACAATTCTGAACCTGAACACCACAGTGCTATGGAAGTTCACAAACTCAGGGACTAAAGACGAACCTACACTGATCTTCTAATATACTCATAAGACATTTTATTCAGCTCAGATGTCATCACAAGAACCCTCCCTGACTTCATGGCTGTGTTTCTCTCTTTACCTACACAAGCCAACCCCCAAGTCTCCACGGACCACTACTCTATAATTACCTGCTTAGCTGTCCCCGAGCTAGACTGTAAGAGTTTGAGGGCAGATTGTGACTAAGATAGCACCTGGTACAGTGCCTGGCACACTGGAAATACTAAATACATGAATGTTGACACACAACTTATGTTTGCCTACCTTAAATTCTTCTCATTCAAGGGGAAATTGTACAAGATTTGGTTGAAGACTAGTTTCACTTCATTACTAAATAGTATAACAATTAAATCTGGAGCTTTTATTTTGATATTTTCAAAAAGCAAGTATATAACACAAGCCCTGTCCCTTCTTGATGTACTGGACCATTTAGGACAGAAAGTTTGCATCCCAATGCCAGCAAAGGGGCTGGGACATATGCAAGGAAGACCTTTCTTCAGTGTTTCAAAACCCTGAGTACCTATGCTTCTTTTCCTTAAATGAAACAAGAAAAATACTAATTAAAAACTAAAGGTAGTAGGCAATAAATCTAAGTGTAGGCAATAAATATAAAATTATTTCTTTTCAGAATATAAATTTCTATAAGCAATGTATAAATAAAAGTAGGAATTACATGGAAATTAAATTTGTATCAAAGAGCCTTCCAAAAAAAAATTCCCTACCTTTATAGAAAAACTAAATCTTTGATGGATAAGAGACTATATGCTGGGGGGTGGGGAGGAACAAAAGAAAAGAAAAAAAAGACTATGTGCTAAAAAGTCTCATACAATATTCTCATTTTAAAAGCACATTCAAGACTTAGAGAACAAACATTTTAGCAGCTGTTATGGATGAACAACATCCTCCAAAAAGATATGCTGAAGTCCTAAGATGGAATGTGACTGTCTTTGGAAATAAGGTCACTGCATATGTAATTAGTTACAATGACGTCACCCAGGAGTAGCATGTGCCCTTACTCCAACCACCTGGACCCTACATGAAGATGTGAAGACTCAGGGAGACACACCACATGACGAGGGAGACAGAGATCAGGGTCACACAGAACGCCAGCCCCTCCAGGAGCGAAGCGACAGGCTCAAAACACACTCTGCCCCATCTCTGCAAGAACAAGGTCCAGCCGACAATTTCAGACTTCTCTCCTCTAGAACTGTGAGAGAATAAATGTCGTTTAACTTAAGCCACCGCATTTGTGGTAATTTGCTATTGCAGCCTGGGAAACACAGAGAATGACATATGCATAATGTCTCCATTAATAGCGCACAAATAATTAAATCTAGTGACTTTATTGAAACATTTCTTTAAACACTACTTGGAAAACTTTCCGTTTGATTCCTCAATAAATACCAATGGTGAACAGGAGAGGGCGCTGCTGATCAGAATGCAGAGTGAAGAAGGCAGAAACTCCAGACCATGGCAAAGCTCTGTCTCAGCCAACAGTGTAGAGGGATGGTCAATATTGATCCAAAATGTTCACAAATAAGAAAAAACATGAAAATGCACTTGGGGTTAAGAGAATTTACCATTTAAATTCCCCGACTTTCAGCTGCAGGCAGCTGACAGGAGCTGAACTTGCACACTGTGGCAGAATAGCCCTCCACCAGGCACTTGTCCCTCCCACTACAGACTATTTAGTTGGGCGGGGTTTCCACTGCTCGCCCCAGAAGCCTGCATCTAACTTCACTCTCCAAGCACCAGCTGGCGGCGCTGCGGTGCCAGGACAGGCCAGAAGGACCTGGGGGGGGGACTGGGGCTCAGGGTACAGACGCACAGGACAGGCCATGGTGGAGCGAACCACCTTCCTGCCGTGACATGGATGGGGACGGAAAAAAGATGAAAAGGAAGATGTGAGGGGAGCAGAGATGAGAGAAAGGGAGGCAGAGGGAAGGCCAGTCCCCTCCTAAGCTGCCCCTCACCTCCCTGGCATCTCCAGAGCTCCTTTCCACGCTCCCGGCCTCTGCGAGCATCTGTCTGCCCCGAGCATCCCCGCCCCAGCCCTCGCGACCAGGGTCTAGGAACTGGATGAATCCTTATGCCTCCTTCCCCACAGAGGCTCAGCAGTGAAGACACAGGTCTTCAGCTGGAGGAGTGGGCTACCACTACTCAAGGAAGAAACATTTAATCCATTTCCCATTGAGATATTATAACTGTCAGGTCCTGAGTACTATTAATTCCTTAATTTAGGGCTTTATGAGTTACATAAAATGTAACGGGCTAGTAGAGAACAAAAGGCACTATGTATAGCTTTGTCATAGGGAAGGAATTACAATTACCAGTAAGCATATTAGAAATAAATTTTTAGAATACAGTGGTTCATAAATGGGATACCAGTGCAATGTTATAACTATTTGAAATCAAAATAAATGCAAGTACATATTGATTCTAGAAGACACACACACACACGTGGCACATTGCATCACGCAGGCTTCAGCGGACTGGTGAAGACAAGGCCGGGAGTGGCTCTATCAAGATGATCGTAAATACACCGACCACAGCAGTAGACGTGTTCAGGGGAGAAAGGATGAAAGGATGGTGAGAAGAATGCCTCGACCAACCAGTCAGTATGCAAAGAGGAGGGACAGGTGGACCCTAGAAAGAACGAGGGCAGAGAGGAGTCTAATGCAATGTTCTGAGTGAAGTCATTATGGGCTATAATTCTAACACAAATTAATACCCTTAGAAGTAAAGTGATCCATAGATCCCAACGCAATTCAGTAACTGCCAGAGGATGCGAGAGCCACCAAGTGTGAGAGCGCTCGTACCTGGAGCCCTGCCTGGGCCATCTGCTCCGCCAGCTGCAAGCAAGACCCGAAGGAGCAGAGAAGGTCTTCGCACAAGCTGGTGACGATATCTTTGTGTCTCAGCTGACTCTTTATAACTGACTGGTGCTTAAGGCTCTGCCTGAATGAATAAAAAGAGCAAGTCACTATGAGTAACACATCAAGTAACTTAGTACCATAAGGATACGACGAAGGAACATGTAAAAAATGACTGTGCAGCACTGGCTGGTGCTGCTCAGGTGGTGGGGTGTCGTCCGGTGCACCAAGATCGCCTGTTCAATTCCCAGTCAGGGCACATACAGGGCTTGTGGATGTGCAGGAGGCAGCTGATCAACGTTTCTCTCTCCCCCTCTCACCCCTTCCTCTCTCTCTAAAAATTCAATAAAACTTTTTCTTTTTAATCACAGTGCACACATACGATACAGGACATAATTCAGATGTGCCAACTTTACCTATGAAGCAGTTCTGTCAGGTTAAGTTACTAATTTTTATTTCTCCATGTAAAATATTAATTGAAGTCTTACTGTGTGCCAGCCACTCGGCTAGGTTCTGGGGACAGAGAGGTGAATGAAGACAACCTCTGCCCTGTCTTCATGGAACATGTGGGCCAGCACCAACGAGAACATTAAGTAATAATTACTCAACTACGGCTGTGATTAGTGCGAAGTGGGAAAAGGCCAGTGTGCTACCATAGAAAGATGTGATATACCTTATTCTTAGGATGAGGAAATCAAAGGATGCTGCCACGAAGATGCAGCACTTAGACTTAGAGCTGAGAGAGAAGCAGGGGTCAGCACGGTGTAGAGGATGGAGAGGAGCATCCTGGCAGGACAGAAGCCGTGACAAGGCTCCAGGACAGGAGAGTTCAGTACATCTGAGGAACTAAGACCAGGGAGAGCAGCAGAGACAGGCTGGTGAAGAAGGCAGAGCCCAGAGAGGGTTAAGTGGTTAGCCTAGTAAAATGGGGTGGATTTTGCCCTGGCCGGTTTGGCTCAGCGGTTAGAGCATCGGCCTGCGGTCTGGAGAGACCCGGGTTCGGTTCCCGCTAAGGGCATGTACTTTGGTTGCAGTTTGTCCCCGGCCCTGGTTGGTCGTGCGGTGGCAGCCACTCTATGTGTCCCTTCACGTCGATGTTTCTCTCTCTGTCTCTTCCTCTCTCTCCCTCCCACTCTATCTGTACAAAAAATGGAAAAATGTCCTCGGGTGAGGATAAAAAAAATTTTTAAAAATGGGGTGAATTTTAAGCAGAGTAACATGAACTGATTACATTTTTAAAAGATCAACACAAATGCTAGGTAAAAAGTGAACTGGAAAGAGTTAAGAGTGGATGATATTTGATGATAGTGGTGATGGTGGTGGTGGTGGTGGTGGTGAAGGTGGTGATGATGATGGCGGCAGTGATACAGCTAATTCACTGAGCACTTAGTAAGTGCCATGCACCACTCTAAGCATTTCACCCTGATAAACTCAACTCTATTACAACCCACCAAAAAAGGTAACACTATTACTACTCCTATTTTCAGATGAGCAAACTAAGGGTCAGAGAAGTTAACCAAATTGCCCAAGTGTTCAGGAGGAGTAAGTTATTTAGAATAGAATCAGCAAAATGCAGCACGGCTCTGAGCTGACACTTCTGACCACTGCTCTGTCACTTGCTGGCAACTTAATGACCTGGTGCTGCAAAAGCTCCTAAGACCTGAGAGCACTGTGCTGACTTTAATGTTTCAGACGTGTGTGCAAAGGAGAGGTTCTCAACACATTTACATCTCAACTGCATCTTCTCCTGCACCCAAGACACCCGTGAACACTATGGGCACTCGCCCTAGTAACCCTTCATACTGCTCCAGTTAAAATTACTTTGTAAATGGAATTCGTTGAACAATTCAAAAGCTTATAATGAAGGGATTATGTTCATCTCTAAATACAGTTACTAATTTATCTCAGCCTGGAAATCAGATACTCAGTAATCTGTTAAACAACAGTAGCAGGAGGTAAGTGGCTAAGGGTTGGTCTGACCATGGTCCATTATTTCAGAATTACTAACTAAGCAGGGAGAAATTTTTTTTTTTTTTTTTTATCCTCACCTGAGGACATTTTTCCATTTTTTGTACAGATAGAGTGGGAGGGAGAGAGAGGAAGAGATAGACAGAGAGAAACATCGACGTGAAAGGGATACATCGAGTGGCCGCCACCGCACGACCAACCAGGGTCGGGGACAAACTGCAACCGAGGTACGCGCCCTTAGCGGGAACCGAACCCGGGTCTCTCAGGACCGCAGGTCGACGCTCTAACCACTGAGCCAAACCGGCCAGGGCAGCAGGGAGAAATTTTTAAAAAAACTTTACAGGCAGCAGGGTAAAGTCCAATTTGGTTTGTGAGCTACATGTAAGACTATCTGGATTATCAGACAGCACGGTCAGCGAACATTTTATACACCTACAGAAACTGTTTTAAATGCACTCTAACATTAATAAGATTTGATATGGAAAATTACAAAAAGTAAAAACAAAACAAAAAAAAACTTACTTAATTATAAATTTCCAAGTATTGGCATGAAATGCATGGTCCATACTGGAAATAACAGAGCAGATATCCAACAATGAATGAATAACTACAAAGAAAAATAACAGAACACTTAAAATATTCAAATGTCATGAGTATAGTCTGTATTTAGAAGTATCTACTGAACAATCAGACATTTATTCAAACAGGTAATGCAGTTTGCAAAAAATGTGTCAAAATAATCATTGAAAATAAGTGTCACACTTTTAAGGTTTTTATAAATCATGGGAAATTAATTTCTGAAGTGTATACCTACCCTATGACCTGACTAAAACTAAGATGTTTAGTGGAATAAAGCTGAACCCTGTTATAACTGAAATACTCTGGATGCATGTATTTCCACTCCGGAATGACAAAGTAACCCTAAGGAAAGCAACCCTAGCAGTGGAGAATCAGAACTAAGTTGCACAGTTCTCATGTAAGGCTTCTACCCTCCCTGGGGCAGATTTATACAAACGGCCCAGTAACCTCCCTTTCCATGTCCACACTCTTGGGCAGGCCCCGTCCCCACAGACTCTGGGCTTAGTCATGTGATTTACTTTGGTCAGCAGGACAGAAATAAATGTAAAGTAGGCAGAGATTTGAAAAGTGCTTACATATTGTGGTTTGCTCTCTTGAAACCTGAGAAATGCTGAGGTGACAGAACCTGGACAGCCTGGGGATGACACTCTACACACGGCTGGCTCAGTACTTCTGCCGCTTCCGACAACCCGATGTGAGTGTGGTCACTGACCACACACACACACACACACACACACACGAGCCACTTCTGCCACAGGGAACAGAGAAAGCTGTCCCAGCTGAGCCCAGCCTAAACTGCTGACTCACAGAATCATAAATAAATAAAACAGTGGCTTTTTAAAATAAAATAGATTTTGGAGTGGTTTGTTATAGAATAAAAGGTACCTAATATGCTGCAAAAAACCAATTTACTCTCTTCACACTGAAGTGCTGAATGTAATCTGTGCCCTTACTCATTAGAGTAGACTGCTTTCCAAACTGGGTCATAACCTAATAGTGAGCAAAATCAATCCTTTAAAAAGTAAAAAGAATATAACAAAGTGTATCACATGTAATATGGGTTTATTTCATGTATAATTAATTAACGAGGTGCACCTCTTATACACACAAACATACACATACATATGTAATTATATGTGCTCTGAGAAGGAATGCAAACTATGAGTTATGATTTAAAAACTCTTTAAGCCACTGTCTCCAAATCTGAACTACTTCAGACGGTGTCAGGTTGCACACCTCTCTTTGTTAATCACTGTGGGGAAATTATCTATTATGAACATTAACTGAACATACAAATCTAATGTTAAGGCATCAAATGTCAATTTTAAATTCTAAAACTTAAAAGATTAAAAATTTACCTGGTATGATTTATTCTGTTCCACATAAGATGTCACATGAATCATTAGAAACAACGGTGGGTTCAATAATTTAAGTGATACACAGTTAACAGTCAGTGTATGTCCTGAAGTAAGTAATAAGTTTCTTCACTCACCAAATACCATATTCAAAATGTCGTCACTCTCATCAGCTTCAGGGCCCACGCAGACCACATCCAGCAGCTCCATCAGCTGCTTCTGAAGAGAGTAGGCCTCCCTGAAAAGGGCCTGCAGAAGGTCGGACACGAGGTGCAAGCGCCCAGAATATACAGATTCACTATTCTGCTCAAATAAAAATGAGAGAAAAGGCAAATCATAAAAAGCTCAAAAGCCAAATTTCTTTTCATTACTATTAGAGATCATCAATTTAATGCTTTTCACTGAATCACATATTCACTCATTAAACAAATGTTTAGTGAACATCCATTAAATATAGTGTACTTCAAGAGATGCAAGCCATGTATCATATGATTTGGCTTCTAATCATTTATCTGCAAATATAGAACTAAAAGGCAGATGAGTAACGTTAGGTGGGATGCATAACAATGTAGTACCCTATCCCCAAAGAGAAGCTTTAATTAACCAAAGATTTTCATTCACTCAAAAAATACCAGTATCAAAACTGCCTGTGACTCACAAATCTCACACCATCTTTTGTGCTTAAAGCTGCCTCAGGAATGCAGAGATGAACTAACAAGGGTTCGTGTCTCTTCGCAACACCTAATCATTAAGGACTAGTCATGCCTGACGTCACGACAGAATATTTCAGGATCCCTGTGACTCAACACAAATCCTAGCACTTCTTTCTTTACAGAGAGGAAACAGGATAAAAAAATTAAAAAAGCAAGCCCTGGCCAGTTTTGCTCAGCGGTTTGAGCGTTGGCCTGTGGTCCAGAGAGACCCGGTTTCGGTTCCTGCTAAGGGAATGTACCTCAGTTGCAGTTTGTCCCCGGCCCTCGTTGGGTTGTGCGGGTAGCAGCCACTCAATGTGTCCCTTTCACATCGACGTTTCTCTCTCTCTCTCCCCCTCCCACTCTATCTGAACAAAAAATAGAAAAATGTCCTCAGATGAGGATAAAAAAAAAAAAAAAGGCAAAAGCCCACTTTTTATCACTTCCTTATAACCACTCGTTATAAAATATTCACATGCATGCTTTATTTCTATGGCAAAGTGTATTCCAATAATATAGGCTAAAATGTAAAATCTTATGTACAAATACTCATCCACTCAGCTCCTCTGCCCGTGGATTCCTGGCCATTTCAAGTGCACCTGCACACACTCCTCACCTTACAGTGTACAAAGGTACTTCTGATCACATGTAGGACTGAGGAGGGGAGGCTCTGGATATTTCTGAGAACAACGGACTCCTGTGTGGCACTGACATGCTGAACACATCCTGTAAGAGCTCCTAGGACCTGTACCATCGTCTGGAAATAAGGAAAGACGTTTCATTCAGAACTTCAGTCTATCGGGACTACAAATACTGGAACGACTAGCTAGCCATGTGGTTTTAAAAAAAGTTGAAATTCTAACCCACACGTCAAAAAAGCCCATATGCTTTGAAACTACAGGTAGGGCATGTTATCTCAATTACTCGTCTTCCTTTAAGAGTTTAGATGTTTGCCCTGACCGGTTTGGCTCAGCGGTTAGTGCATTGGCCCGTGGACTGATGAGTCACGGGTTCGGTTCTGGTCAAGGGCACATACCTCAGTTGCAGTTCGTCCCGGGCCCTGGTCAGGTTGTGTGGGAGGCAACCAGTCGATGTGGTTCTAACACACTGATGTTTCTCTCTGCCTCTGCCTTCCTCCCTCCCTCTCACTCTATCTAATAAGTAGAAAAATATTCTTGGGTGAGGAATTAAAAAAAAAGAAAAAAGAGTTTAAATGTTTACTGAGCAGGAAACTGTGGCAAAAAAATTCAGAATTTATGTTTCTGTATTCATCTTTAATTCTATAAACATAATTCCAGTATTGGCCATTACATAAAGAATACGATGATAAAACATAATAGCAGTGTAGAAATTCTCACACTCTTTGAGCTGCCCATCTCTCCTGTTTTAATACTTTGACTTACTTGTAAAATATTCCTTAGAGTGGTCTGGATTTCTAAGTTTTGGCTTGATAGCTCTCTGGCTTGACTACTCAATTCATACATCATGTCATCAAATAATTTCACAGTCTGTAAAAACAAAGCAGGTTATTAATAATAGAAATCACTAGAAAAGGAAAGATACCTTTAAGAAAAATCAGATGACTCTTGCCCTGGCCAGTTTGGCTCAGCGGTTAGAGCGTCGACCTGCAGTCCCGAGAGGCCCGAGTTCAGTTCCCGCTAAGGGCGCGTACTTCGGTTGCAGTTTGTTCCCGGCCCTGGTTGGTCGTGCGGGTGGCAGCCACTCGATGTGTCCCTTTCACATTGGTGTTTCTCTCTCTCTCTCTCTCTGTTCCTGTCTCTCCCTCCCACTCTACCTGAACAAAAAAGGAAAAATGTCCTCGGGTGAGGATTAAAAAAAAAAAAGAAAGAAAAATCAGATGACTTTTATTTTTGCATCAGTAACACCCTTGGGATATTGTCTAGTTTAACAATTGTACCTGATTAAGTTTAAAATATATATGTTATATATACAACATATACAGGATGGGGTAAAAGTAGGTTTATAGTTCTGAGTATGTAAAACAGTTTATTCTTGTATTTTTATTATTGTATTATTTACCATATGAACTGTAAAACTACTTTTGCCTCATCCTGTATAATATATAGTAATTCTACAGTACAATTTCTTCAAAAAAAAAGCCTCAAACAGAAACTGACTGATTTTCCATTTCTGTGGTTTGAATCTAATAATAACAATTTTAAAAATCATTAAAAGTTCACTTTTGGTGAAGTGCTACTCTACATAATCAAAGATGACGGTCTTGACCCATCAACGTTCACATGGGCATTTACAAGGGTGACTTCTGGTCATGGTAACGAATCTGTGCTGAGTCTCCCATTCATTTGTATTCCAACTTGTTCCCCTTTGACCCAACTCAAAATACAGTTCCTGGGTTACAGGCACAGTATGTGACCTCAGAACTAAGTACTCTGTCGGGGAAAAGTCAGCCCCTAAGCCAGGACCTTTCTACACCACTTCAAGGGCCTGCACAGTGCAGGAACAGGCACCCAGGCAACAGCCCAGGTGATTCCAGAGAACATACCGTTTCCCACAGGTCTGCTGATGCTCAACATCCTGTTTTCTTTTTTTTATCCTCACCCGAGGACATTTTTTTTTTCTTTTCGATATTTTGTTCAGATAGAATGGGAGGGAGGGAGAGGGAGAGAAACATCAACGTGAAAGGGACACATGGAGTGGTTGCCACCCGCACGACCAACCAGGGCAGGGACAAACTGCAACCGAGGTACATGCCCTTAGCGGGAACCGAACCCGGGTCTCTCTGGACCGTAGGCTCTAACCGCTGAGCAAAACCGGCCAGGGCTCAGCAATGTTTTCATTTACACAGCAGCTGAACCTTTTCCTGGTGGTCAAGAACAAATTCTCAGAAGCTTTTCAGACAGAATGAGTGAGTATGAGTAAAAGGAATTCTGATGGTTATCTGCCTCAAAGCTAAACTGAGAAGAGATCCATTCCAGTAAGAGAGTAAGTTACTGTAAATAGGTTTCATTTTAGCACCAAAGTACCTTTACTTCTCTCAATTAAAAAAAAAGAGAAGACTGCTTTTCAGAGAAAAAGTATATCATGCATTTATAACGTAATAATATAATCTGTAAACAGAATGTTTTCCCTTAGTTATCTGATTTTACCAGGATTCCAGCCTCCATCCTAAGACTCTTTAATAACCCTTGGGTCCATTTCTCCAGACAATGCTGCCTAACAATTACTAATAAACTGCACAGAGAAGACGATACAACAAAGGGACTCGCCGCCACCTTTATCACGCATCCCAAATTTTCATTTAACAGTGTCAAAATACAAGAGCATTTAAAATTAACTACAAATAGTTTAAATTTAGTTACTAAAGGATCCATATCATCTGCAAGTATAATAGTTTTTAATCACTTAGTTACTCTAACACCACCATATTCTCACAGGATATCTACTTTTTACAACTATATTTGTATGACAAATACATTTGATACACTTAAAAAACAAAAGCCACAATTAAGAATGATCTGAAACAGAGATTTGATTTAACAGCCTTTTTTTGTAATAGTACTATACCTTTGGCAGCACTTGTGAAAAGAAAGTCTGTTCCAATGTCAGGTGGTTCATATGAGGTAAAAACCTTTCTACAATGATTTTCAGAATTTCTACAAAGCAAAACAGTAACACATTTTGTAGGAATATTAAGTCTGTTAGCCAACAAAGATCAATGCTGTTAACAAATGGGAGAATATGTAAGTACAACCAACAGAAAGCATTGTACAGTTTCAAGTACCATAATCTATGTAGAGAAACTATTAAGTAATTGAAATAATATCAAAAAAACGAACAATATCTAAAGCAACTGAGGACCACTTAATGGACATGGGTACCTTTACTGAATAGGATCTGTAAATGATGCTTAGAGATTATTTAAAAACCGTAAAAAAATGTTTACAGTACTTTAAAATTAAAAGTCCCCAAATAGAACCCCAATTTTTTTTTTTTTTTTTTTTTATCCTCACTCGAGGACATTTTTCCATTTTTTGTTCAGGTAGAGTGGGAGGGAGAGAGAGGAACAGAGAGAGAGAGAGAGAAACATCGATGTGAAAGGGACACATCGAGTGGCTGCCACCCGCACAACCGACCAGGGCCGGGGACAAACTGCAACCGAGGTACATGCCCTTAGCGGGAACCGAACCCGGGTCTCTCAGGACCGCAGGCCGACGCTCCAACCGCTGAGCCAAACCGGCCAGAGCTAGAACCCCAATTTTAATATATGTAAAAATGTACACCCAAAGAATAACAGTCTCACAGGAATGTACGGAAATGCAATGACAATGTTCTCTATTAAAATCTTAACCATTTCTTATCCATGAATGTTTTATAAGTCTTCTGTTTTTCTACATGTTTCAAATTTTCTACAATTTCGAATGAAAATGTGTAATTCATACCCAGAATTTTTAAAAAATTAGACCCCAAAAGACAACATAGATTCAAAAGTATAAACAAATATTCCAAATCCATTCTAACTAAAAAGAAATGTAAACTCTACTGTCTAGTCTTTATTCTCTACCACCTCTTCTGGATAAATCACATCAAGTAAGAGCCATGAAGACAGATAAAGATGGTAAAGTCAATTTTTTCCAAATGACAAATGTGTCATCACCTAAATAATCAGCTTTCTGTGGCCCAGAAGCTGTTTTCTAAGTGCTGCTTCACGTCAGAGGCTGAAAGCAACAGCCTGCACATCACCTTTCACAGCGGCCTCACCACGGTTAACAACCGACATTGAGAGCTTACATTGTGCTTACACATGCATTAAACAGAGCACGTTTGCTATCTATCAAAAATAGAATTTAAAAGTCTAAGTACTGTAATTAGGAGGAATTTGGGCATTTTAAGTAACTGATGGTTACAGTGGCTGTAACTCTAAAATAGGAAAAAAATCAATTTGAAAGGAATACAAAACATTATCGATAAGTATTATTCGGATCTTAACATCAAAATAAGTCATACAATTAAGATAGTTTTACTCACGAATGTGCTCAATCCAAGTGTCAGACTGTTGATACATGGAGTAAAATAATTAAGGAAGATCTTAACATAACAGGACATCACTACTAAGAATAAATGTAAAAGGACCATTCGTGACTTTTAAGCAATGATCCATAAGAGACTGAAACTGGACTCAATTACTGGTATAATTTTGCCTTTTAAAAATTAATGCCTATACTATGGTTTCTCTTCATATCGTATCGATTTTTCTTCTTTTACTAAAAAGTTAATGCTTATTAGGTAAGCAAACAATATTATGAAAATACTTTACGGAAATATTTCAAAATTGCTCAGGGATCTTCTTGCTTTTTCAAGCTATGTGTATCCATAAAATATATTTGACAAATGACAAACAGTGCTACAATTAACCAGGGCTTTCTGGTTTCTAATGCAGGAGAGCAATCTCCCCCTCCTCCGCATTTCTATAGTTTATCTGTACCTGTCTTAAGTCACTCACCACTTTCTATCTTACTTTCATAACTTTCTTACCAAACTTATCAGACTGAAACCCTTCTGCACACAACAGGAACTTACAAAATGTCACAGTAAATTAGCCTAACAGTAATGATATTATAAAATATATTCCTGGATACTATCAAGAATTGTTAGAAATGTTACAACGTAAAAACAAGAATCGTTAAAGAATGTGTTAACAAGAAAAATGAACAGCCCATAACTCCATCACACTAATAAAATTAATTTTTCTTCTGAAATCTTAACATTGCATATTTTTTCTTTATTGATTTTAGAGAGGGAAAGAGAGATAGAAACATAGGTGAGAGAGAATATCAACTGGTCACCTCCTACACGGCCCCCACTGGGGGTTGGGCCCACAACCTGAGCATGTGCCCTGACTGAGAATCGAACTGGCGACCTCTAGGTGCATGGGTGGATGCTCAACCACTGAGCCACTGAGCCCGGGGGGGGGGGGGGGGGCCGGGCCTGGGGGGGATGTTTTGCAGTAGCATTGAAAGTGAGGTATAGTCATTAGCTTGAGTCTGGTAGGACAGAATTTGCCTTACGGAAAAATTTCAGCAGAGGTTAAAAAAAAAAAAATTCTAGCCTCCTCAAAAATTAAACATAAGTTATGATTATGAAGACATGCAGATAAAGACCAGAAAATAATATGTAAAGTGCAAAACATGAAAATAACTATTTCAGGGCTGAATCGTGGGTTTATTGCAAACTTTAATTTGTTGAAAAGAAGTATCGCCTGCCCTGGCAGGTTTGGCTCAGCGGTTGGAGCGTTGGCCTGCGGTCCAGAGAGACCCGGGTTTGGTTCCCGCTAAGGGCACGTATCTTGGTTGCAGTTTGTCCCCGGCCCTGGTTGGTCGTGTGGGTGGCAACCACTCGATGTGTCCCTTTCACGCCGATGTTTCTCTCTCTCTCTCTCTCTTACTCCCTCTCCCTCCCACTCTATATGAACAAAAAATGGAAAAATGTCCTCGGGTGAAGATAAAAAACAAACAAACAAAAAGAAGTATCGCCTAATGAGACTTCTAGGAATTTAAAAAAATACTATTTTTAGTCCTTTACTCGGTGCTTAGTATGGGGCCAGGCACTGTTCTAGGTGTTGGGATAACACAGTGAAAACACAACCCTGCCTTTATGAACTTCACAGTGTTGTGAGGGAAAGTGAAAAGTGAACAAAACAAAATGATTTCTGTAATGATAAAGTACTCTTCAGAAAACCAAACAGGGCAAAGTAATAAAAGTGTTGCTGACTGGGTTTGGGGAAACTATCTAAAGTTGAGGGCTCTGAAAAGGGCCAGGTGAGGTGATATTTGAGCCAAGACCCGAGGAGTGAGTTGCATAAAGGCTGGGAGAACAAGCGAGGCTGAAGGACCAGCAAGCATGATGACCGCGAGGCCAGGCGCGTCCTGCCTTCGTGGCTGGAATGCAGTGAGCGAGGCAGGAGAAAAGGGCTTAGAGCAGGGGCATTGAAGGTAAGATCGGATTTTATATCCAATTTGTTAAGAAGCCACTGGAGAGTAGTTCAAAAAGAAATGACACGATCTATCTTCCGCTCTGAACTATTTGGGGAGAAGACGGATACCAAGAGGGCATGAGGACGCTATCTGGAGTAGAGTGGTAGCAACTGGGGATGGGGATATGTGGGTGCATTCAAGATACAATCTGAAATCAGAGACAATACAAGTTGCTGATGGGATGTGAGGATTCATGTGAGGTTTGTGAAACCATTTACAAGAGTCTTCACTCGTCGACAGCTGCAACTTGAAGCAACATGATATATAACAAAACCGTTTTCCACAGGCTACCTGATATAAAGACTTAAGTTCCTATTTTACAAGGAAACGACTTTGAACAAAATTGTTATTCAAGGACCTTCTGTATTTCAATGAAGAAAACTGGGGAAAGAATAGGTTTGGGTCCTTCTGAATGTTACAAATATTAAGTGTGAGATGCAAAACCAGGTGGGAATATTGACTTTCAACTACTGAAGTCCCCGTGTAAGTTTGAGGGGCATTTTGTTACTCCAAAGCCTGCCACCCTGTGTGACACAGGCTAGGGACCCAGTACATGTCTTTCAGAAGGATAACTCTCATTTCCCAAGTTAAAATCCCCGAGGATGGCAATTCCATACCTGCACAGCAACTGAAAAGGGCTTGGGGACCCAGTGGGAGTGTGACAATGCCTAGACAAATGGTGTCCACGGGACGGTAACATTTGTATTTGGCTTTCACTGTAAAAACCATTTGTACCACGTGGAGACTCAACTGAAGGTCATGTTTTTCTTTTAAGTGTAGTTTTGTTGAAGGTGAGCTCAAAAGCATTAAAAAAAAAAATTACCTTTTAACCTGAAAGGCTAGGACTCCAGGCACGTTTACAACCACTGAGGCACCAGAGATGACTCAAGAATGGTCTGCACCCACCCAGCGGAGGCACCAAGCCCCTCAAACCCAGCAGACAGAGCCAGTCACAAAGCTGGCGGCTCCTTCCAATCAGCGAAACAGGGGACGAGGAGGGAAGGGAATGTTAACATCGTTTTAGACTTGACACCACGGCAGATCTGCGTCCTTCGGTCCTCCCGACACTGGGGAAGGTGCTGTGCATCACCACCCATCTCAGAGGTAACAGCTCAGGGTCCCTCTCGGCCTCATCCAGCTTAGAGCCAGGGCTAGCCTGATAGCCTGGGTCCGAGTCCCTGCCTGCCCCGCTCTCCCGTGCAAAAGTACTTACACTTAATTGCACATGACGAGTACAGAAAGCCTTCAGGGGGCTGAGGAAGGGAGAAACGCCACTCCCACTCCAGGGGACGGCGCGGGACGCGTCGTCCCCGCTCGCCCTCCGCGTCCCCGCGCTGCCCCGTCCCCCCCGCTACTCCGTCCCCCCCGCTGCCCCATCCCCCCCGCTACTCCGTCTCCCCCGCTGCCCCATCCCCCCCGCTACTCCGTCCCCCCCGTTGCCCCGTCCCCCCGCTGCCCCGTCCTCCCCGCTGACCCGTCCCCCGCTGCTCCGTCCCCCCGCTGCCCCGTCCTCCCCGCTGCCCCGTCCCCCGCTGCCCCGTCCCCGCGCTGCCCCGTCCCCCCGCTACTCCGTCCCCCCTGTTGCCCCGTCCCCCGCTGCCCCATCCCCCCCGCTGCTCCGTCCCCGCGCTGCCCGCGCTGCCTCGTCCCCCCGCTACTCCGTCCCCGCGCTGCCCCATCCCCCCCGCTGCTCCGTCCCCGCGCTGCCCCGTCCCCCCCGCTGCTCCGTCCCCGCGCTGCTCCGTCCCCGCGCTGCTCCGTCCCCCCGCTACTCCGTCCCCGCGCTGCTCCGTCCCCCCGCTGCTCCGTCCCCCCGCTACTCCGTCCCCGCGCTGCCCCGTCCCCCCCGCTACTCCGTCCCCGCGCTGCTCCGTCTCCCCGCTGCTCCGTCGCCGCGCTGCCCCGTCCCGTTCCCCGACCGAGAACCGAGAGTTCCGGCCGCGGGAACACAACACGCCCCGGCGGCGGCTGTGCCCGGGCCGAGGAGGAAGGGGCGACCCCGGCCCCACGCCCCACTGCGGGTGCCGGCGACAGCGAAGGATATGAGGAGCCGAGGCAGGGCGGTCGGCAGCTCCCGGCGGCACAGCCCCTCCGGCCAGCTGCTGAACTCCTCCAGGGAGGCGGCGCGGGCCGGGGCCGCGCGCTCCTGAGACATGCTGTCGCCCAGCGGCCGGCTTCCAAACGCTCCCGCCACCGCCGAGACCGGAAACGCCGCCGTCCCGGCAGGCCTTGCGAGCTCTCGGCGGCGCCAGAACCATAGAGAGGGAGCGGGCTGCGTGCTTGGTGGAGCCCGGGCCCCACGCGGCTGGGAAGAGCCGGGCTTGTCTGGCCCGCGGAGGACTCGACTCACTGGTGAGCGCTTTCAGTCGGGAGGATCTGGCCCGACTTCGGGTTTCTCCGGGCCGGGAGCTGGGAACCGGCCGGGCTGCGAGCATCCCCAGGTCAGGATCGCTGCGCATGTTACACTGAGGCGCTCTGTGGAGGCGAGGGCTGGAAGTCCCCAGATTTGCTACCCTCGGTCCCAGGGGGCTTTGAGATCCCACATCTGGGGTGGCGTTGGACCCGGCTCCTGCCCACTTAACCCTGTGACCCTACTGTGTCATCTTGTGTTATGGGAATAAAGACCCGCCTGCGATCTGACGCAGATCTAGCACCAGATGCAGGTAAGAGTCTCAGTCAAGTGGCTGCGACTTTCTGCAAACGTTCAGGGCCCTTATGTTGTGTGTGTTCTGCCTCCAAACTCACCTTCCTGGTTACTCCAAAATCACCCCACTCGCCTACACCTGGGGCTGCTGGTCTCCGTGAGTGTGCTGAGGCGTCTGGACGATCCTGCACCCAGCTGACCGTGCAGCGCTTTGCACGGCTACACATTTACCAAAAGAAACCCGTGCCCTGGCCGGTTTGGCTCAGCGTTGGGGCGTCGGCCTGCGGACCAGGGAGTCCCCGGTTCGGTTCCCGCTAGGGGCACATACCCCAAAAAAATAAAGAAAAGAAACTCGTAGATTCCTGCTACTTAACACAGGATCAGACTGAAGCGAAGGGACTGGCAGTTTAGCAGGTAAATATATTGGACAGGGTCATAACAGATGGCAGACACCAAGTAGCTAGGCCCGTCATTTCCTGCCCGACAATTTTGGCCTTTACGGTTTTTTCCTAGTTGTTGCTGCTGTTCTTTTATTTGTTTTTACTCCTCATTCTCTAATCCAGCTTTTGACCCCTGAGGGGTTGTGTGTTTCCAAATCTCTTTATCTCCCTCACAACTTTTATAGGAAAAGCACCTACCTGTATTGGGGCATGGGAGGATACTGTTTAATATTCTATTTTAAGGAAACGTGTCACTTTACTTTTTAATAACAATGTTATTTCTTTATTTTTTTTTTTCCCTCCAGAGTTAAACTGAAAGAAAAGCAAAGACCTTTAAAAAGTCATTTGGAAACAAGCCCAAAATATTTTAAACTGTGGATAAGCCGCTACAGAGAAATTGACCCAAAGGAAACTACCTGAATAACTGAGACAGGTTTATGTTTGCATCATCGATTCTATCCAGGAGCTGAGGAGTCTCCCTTTGAATCGAAGGACTGTGCAAAGATGACCTTCCAGTTTAATTTCACTATAGAAGACCATCTAGAAAATGAATTAACGTTCCTTGGAGATGGAGCTTTGATCCCAAATTCCTCAAAAGCGTCTTCAGTCTCAGAAAGTCAAGAAGGTGAGCCCAGGGACACGGCATGTTCTACAGAGCAGTCGGACTTGTCTCAGGGTCACTTGGGGCGACACAAGCCGGTGGGAATCACAGCTCCCTCCCAAGACACACACTGCTCACTCGGTGCAGCTAACAGTTCCCTTCACTTGGAGCCCCGTGAAGGACAGCCATGCTTGAGACTTGCCAAGGAGCATTCTGTGCCTGCAGACTTACAGAAAACGCTAGAAAATAAAGTGGTGGAAACGTCACCAGGCCTCCAGCACCTTAACGTATCCGTAGTGAAAACCATCTTGTTGAAAGAGAACTTCCCCGGAGAAAACATAGTTTCAAAAAGCGTTTCTTCTCACTCTGATCTGATTACCGGTGTTTACGAAGGAGGCTTAAAAATCTGGGAATGTACCTTTGACCTCCTGGCTTATTTCGAAAAGGCCCAAGTGAACTTTGCTGGGAAAAAAGTATTGGACCTTGGCTGTGGATCAGGGTTGCTGGGTATAAGAGCTCTCAAGGGAAGGGCCAAAGAAGTTCATTTTCAAGATTATAACGGAATGGTGATTGATGAAGTAACCTTACCGAATGTAGTGGCTAACTCCGCTTTGGAAGATGAAGAAAATGATGGAAATGAACCAGATGTGAAAAGACGCAGGAAGTCAGAAGTAGCACGAGAACTAGGGAAATGCCGGTTCTTTTCCGGGGAGTGGTCTGAGTTTTGTAAGCTTGTGCTAACCAGTGAAAAACTCTTTGAAAAATATGATCTCATTCTCACCTCCGAGACCATTTACAATCCGGATTATTATGGTCCTTTGCACCAAACACTCCTTCACTTGCTGGATGAAAATGGGCGGGTGCTTTTGGCCAGCAAAGCGCATTATTTTGGAGTAGGTGGAGGTATCCATCTCTTTCAGAAGTTTGTAGAAGAAAGGAATGTATTTGAGACTAGAACACTAGAAATAATCGATGAAGGACTAAAAAGATTCCTCATTGAAATGGCTTTTAAGTTCCCTAGTTAATGTCTACAATGTCCTGAATGAAATAAACAATAACTAAAATTTTGTTCTGAATGTTTATAATTTCTGCTTTGCTGTTATTTTTTCCGAAATTAGGATTCAATGAAATGTATTTACTGGACATCTGTTGACTAGGTATTTTGTATAGCGTCTTGCTTAGTATTTATAACCTTATGAAGTATACATCATCCTCATTTTAATGAAGATCATAATAGCTAACAGTTTTCAGCATATACTATATGCAGAGCAGAAGAACTTTCCATATACTAACATTTAATAGTCATAACAGCCCTGAATTAGGTTACAATTCAGGTGATAGTTAATACCTCCATTTTCTAGATGAAGAAATTGAGACTCAAGGAAGTAATTTGACCCTGGTCACATTTCTCACTTTGAACCAGAATCCGGACTGAAGTCTATTTAAAAGTTCTTTTCGCCACTGCAGTGGTCTCCACCTTACACTGCCTGTTTTTCATCAGAAATATTTCTTAGCACCCTTTTATTATTCCGAAATGAAAGTCGTGGCTAAAGAAACTTATTTACATTCATCACTAGGGAGTCACTGAAAACAGGAGTCAAAGCATGAGCCCAGTCTGGGGAAGTAGACAATTCTGGGGCAACCTTCCAACAGGGGCACACCTACCTAAGTGAGGTGGCAGCAGACAAGCCTTGAGATACAAATTACGGCCCCCAAGCAAGAGGAGATGAACGGGGCACTCGCATGTAAATGGCTTAATTCAAAGAGGCGGACATACGTTACGACAATGAGCTTTGGAGTCTAATACCTTGGGTTAAAATTCAGTTTCCCCATCTGTAAGACAGGGTTGATAATAACCGTATCTTCCTAACAGAGTTCTTTTAAATAACAATAGTTTAATGTGGAACATTTATCATGGTCCCTATATACAAATGGAAATTGTCATCTCCAAGAATTTTCATTATGTTTAGTCATCCTGTTTTCTCAACCAAATAGAAAGCCTTGTTCACTTCTGTTGAAAATTGTGTGTGCCTTTACAGTTTACAAATCTCAGTTAGGAATTTGGAGAAACGAGTAAGTCCCAGACCTGGCACTGCCCAGCACCCAGCCCCCTGTTCTCCCTCCACCCCGCCCCCCACCTCGGAGTGTCTAAGCTGTCCTTCTCGGACGCTTCAGTGTTTCAGTCACTGGGCATGAACAGAAGTTCATCTTGTGACGCTGCACCACAAGCTTCTTCTAAAGACTCCGTCCCAGCCAGCGGGCTCCGCCTCGGAACGCCCACCTGGCAGACGTGGCTGTACCCTTCTGCCAGCCCACTGCCCAGAAACGGGACGCTGGGGGCGGACACCTGCCTGGGTCAATGCAGTGGCCGTGTCCTTGGGGCAGGAGGGGTCAGCGCTCAGCTGGCCAGTTCACTGTCAGGGGAGGGAGTGTGTCTTCAGGTCTCAGCGGCCTCCAGCTTTTCTTCCCTGCTTGGTAAATAGCGACCGGAGCGTCTGTTTCCGGTGCCCTTTGGGTCCCAGGGCACAGTCCAAACCACCACCACCACCTGGGTGCAGCCCCGCTGAGAAGCCACGCGCTGCCACTCACTGATCTTGTATCTCAGCCCAGGACACAGCTCCTGTCAACCGGGCTGGTCGGGGGAAGCCACCGTCCACTGGGTGTTATCTCACGATTCTGATTTCTGTCCTTCTATGGAGTTAAAAGTGAACTCAGGTAACCCTCAAGAGTGGGTCCATCATCTGTAGAGAAGCTGTCAAAGGGCCGTGCTTTCTCAGGGGGAGGGTTCATACTCTATTTGAAAGAAATTAGGTGAAGATTACAGTGATGGCAAACAGCTGGGTACCCTAAGCATTACTTAAGAAAGTGGGGCATTTTACCTCTCCCAGACGGGGTAAGTGACCCATAAATCCGGATGGTCCGGTATGGTACGGGGACAGCTGTGGCTCACCTCGTCCCTGGCACACGAATGGGAAAGGAGGTGGGCGGGCTGGCCCTTGGCCCGGTGTGTCTTCAACCTCTGCAGTGGAAGCCACGTGCTCAGTCTCATGGGCCCCGCGTGCTCGGCCATGCTGCTGCCGGCCCGTGTGGGCCTTTGTGCAGAGAAAGACGGTCTGTCCCCTGGGCAGATTCAGGCCCGTGTTCGGAGACACAATGGGGCAAGTGGAACCGGCCTGTTTTCAGCCCCATTCACCCCCTCAGCTCCTCTTAGCAGCCCCGGGGCTTCATCCTACAAGCGTCCACGACTTTCCTACTGAGAATACAAAGGAAAACGGGCAGTACACTGATGAACATCAAGAGGACCATGGGACACCCACCACATACCGGAAGTGAGGGCTGTAAGAGACACTGTCCTCTTTCTCAAGGTAAGTTACAGCCTCCGTTGGGGGCGACGAGCCAGTGAGATGGACCAGCAGTAGGTGAAGGCGAAGAAAACCTCTGAGCCTGGGATGAGAGCCACAGAGGCAGCGCTCCAAGGTGACCTCCCCGCATGCTGGTCACTGCGGCGAAGGTTATCCAGGCGAGGGCTGAAGTCAACCCTGCTAACACCTGTCTCCACCCGGGACTCTGACAGGTTGTCTGGCTGGCCCGGCTCAGCCTGCTCTGAGGTCACCGACAGCTCCCACGCGCGGGGTCCGACGCCCAGTCCCAACAGGATGGACATCAGTCGCTCCACCAGCCCGGTCGTCCCTCAGATCGGGAACTGCAGGGAACTCGATGGGTCTCACGATGTGTGGACAACAAAGTCCCCCACTCTGAAACATGTGTTTAGCCCTGGCCGGTTTGGCTCAGCAGTTAAAGCATCAGCCTGCGGTCCTGAGAGACCCGGGTTCGGTTCCCGCTAAGGGCATGTACCTCGGTTGCAGTTTGTCCCCGGCTCTGGTCAGTCGTGCGGATGGCAGCCACTCGATGTGTCCCTTTCACATCGATGTTTCTCTCTCTCTCTCTGTTCCTCTCTCTCCCTCCCACTCTACCTGAACAAAAAATGGAAAAGTGTCCTCAGGTGAGGATAAAAAAAAAAAAAGAAGAAAAGAAAAATGTGTTTAGCCCAAGAGATCATTAGAAAAGAACTATGACCCTCTTTCTGCTCGCGGAAATGTGAGGTAGGAAATGCCCTAGGACTCAACATGTTTCTGTTACTCTCAGCAAATAAACTTCTGGTGAATTTTTAGAAACTTGATTCTGAACTTGTTTTATTTATTTATTTATTTTATCCTTACCTGGGGACTTTTTTTTTTTTTTTTTTTTTGCATTTGTCTTCAGACAGAGCAGGAGGGAGAGAGGGAGAAAGAGAGAGAGAGAAACATCGATGTGAGAGAGACACATTGACCCCAACTGGGGCCGGGGACAAACTGCAACCGAGGTACGTGCCTTTAGCAGAACCGAACCTGGGACTCTCTGGTCCACGGGCCAACGCTCTAACCGCTGAGCCAAACTGGCCAGGGCTGAACTTGTTTTCAATAGCAGCGCACAGAGTTTGGGTGGGGGGCATAGTTTCGAAGGGCGGAGTGTGTGTGGGAAGGGAGAATGAAGCTAGCCACGCCCAAGGCCCCGAGTTGGCTGGCACACCGCACCCTCATTAACCATCTTGGCGCCAGCTTCCCGATGATCCCTGCTTTTCCAGGCTCTGTGTGCCAGTCTGCAGAGACACGCGTTCTCCCCAGCTTTCCAGAAACTCCGCTCTGTTTCCTGTTTGCTTTGCTATTTCCAAGCCTCTCCAGGAGTTTTACAATAAGAACCAAAACAGATCCTCTCTTCTAAGGAAAATACCTGAGACACCTCTTCTAAGAACAGCACGGATGTTCCTGACTCTGCATTTCAGTTCCTCTAAGAGAAAATGTGTTCGAGCCAGCATGAACACCACCCTTCTCTGAACTCGCTCTGGTTTTCATTTTCCCAGAGTGGAGGAAAGGTCTTACTCTGCAATCTCCCCATGAAATACTTAGAAACTCTCCCACGTCTCCTCCGCCCTGCAGTGCAGCAGAAACAGAGTCGGCCTCAGAGCCAGAACTACCAGAGATGAGTTATGTCTGTAGTCATCGGAGTTTGCCATCATCTGTTACTATCATACAGACATATTCCTCATTGCTTCAAAATTAACGTCCAATCCAGATGCCGGAGCCTGAATGTAAATTTTTTTTTTTTTTTAATCCTCACCCGAGGACATTTTTCCATTTTTTGTTCAGATAGAGTGGGAGGGAGAGAGAGGACCAGAGAGAGAGAGAGGACCAGAGAGAGAGAGAGAGAAACATCGACGTGAAAGGGACACATCGAGTGGCTGCCACCCGCACGACCAACCAGGGCCGGGGACAAACTGCGACCGAGGTACGTGCCCTTAGCGGGAACCGAACCCGGGTCTCTCAGGACCGCAGGCCGATGCTCTAACCGCTGAGCCAAACCGGCCAGGGCCTGAATGTAAATTATTTTATCTGTATCTGGTCTAGAGAGACACCCTGGGCAGGCCCGCCATTGGGTCCCATATAATCGTGATGCAGTTTTCTATGTTTCAGGAATATTTGGCAATAGGAAGAGCTGATCCCCTCCCGGATGCCACCTTCCCGATGCCCCACCCTTTGTGTTTCATTGTCTCCAATACTTGTGCACCGAACAGCTTCTAAAGCCCAAATGTGGTCTCATTCCAACAAGAATGAACAGAGTCCTTACTGTCGTGGAAAAGAGCTTTTTCGTTAATGTCTGTTCAATATAACATGTGCAAGAAAAGTTTACGCTTGGGTTGTGTGGTAACTGAACACACTCCCAGTTACACCCATTTTTCCCGGATTTGTACAGAATCGGTGTGATGAACACTTGGTAAACCCCCAAGTGTATTTGACGCCTGGGTGTCGCTTTTACTGTGACTTGTGCATTTCCTTTGTTTGAGTCAAGGGACTCTGTCAGATCTAATTTATGAAGGGTCAGAAGTTAACTTACGGGAAAGAGAACAATAGACGACCCATAGCTTTGGACTAAAGTCTCAGAGGGAGAGAGGTGTATACAAGAAAAGAAAAAAAAAAACCCAAAGAAA